GGTATTGTCTGCTGGCTGCTGGTGCAATGTGTAACATTTTGATACGGCTTGCACTGCTTCCTATCATTATAGTGTAGTGCATATCTACAGGCCGCGGTAATCATGTGAAATTGCCCCTAGAAATGTGTTAACTGTTGAAAGTGCATAAAGCAACGAAATGACAGAAAAAGCGGAACAAAAGGAAAGTATGCGTCCGAAAGGTTTTTGTATGTTGTCATGTGTTCCGTGTGAATTGAACGCAATTGAATGGAATTATATGGAATTTTATGGAATTGAATCATATTTTTCGTGCGCTCCTTTTTATGACTGATCCGAGCTATTCTTCTTGTTGATTTGAATTGTATGCGCTTACCCTTTTATTCCCAGGCTTTTAATGTATTTATTTTCGTTATTCCTTTTTCGTTTATATTTTAATTTATTTATTTATCATTCATTTAAATAATTCTTGACTTTATTTCAAATTTATTATTTGTTTAAAACTACAAAAACAAGAGAAGGTAAAACATGAACGAATAACAAAAACCAAAAAACAAAAAAAAAAAAACAATTAAAAGGAGAAAACAAAACCTGAATTTTTATTCATAAACAATATGTGCGGGAATATTTCACTTTTATCCGGCATTTGAGGTAGTCATATTCCTGCTTTAGGGATATACAAAGGAGGTAGTGCAGTTCTTGGGCAGTCGTTTTTATGCTCTGAATATGCTTTGACAAAGAAAAATTTGTGGAGAAGATTTAATAAAATCAAAAAAAAAAAAAAATAAAGAAAAATAGGAAATAAGATAAAATAGGGACGACGAACTTATCCGACATATCAATAGTTCATCATTCATTGGCTGAGTGGATGAGGAGTTGGTGGTTAAGTTATTGTTATTGTTATTATTGTTATATAATAATTATTATTACTATTATTATTTTTATTATTAGGCGGTTTGTTGGTCGCAGTAAGATCTGTGTGCTTAATCTATGGTTTTCCTATGGTTTTCCCAGGTACACTTATCGGAAAGTCATATAGTTGCATTAAATGTTTCTGATGTTTCATTTAGTCATCATTATTAAAATATTATTATTACGGTATGTTGTTGTTGTTGTTGTCTTAATTGTAATCATCTTCTTTGCTGGCATAATTGTTGTCCTATATGTTGAGATAGGTAGTTTCATTACTGCTTTAAATGTTAAGCTTATTTCAGGTTAGCCCGTTTTTACTTCTTGCATTTCATTTTTGCTTTATTGTTATTAAATACTTAATAATTTTTTGTATAAAATTTTTTTCTTTATATTTTTTTGTTTTTTTTTTTGTGTTTTGCTTTTTGGTGTTGATATGTATAATTTTTATATGTTATATTATCAGACCGTTGCAAATTGTCGCTGGATTGCATATTTGCAAGCTGCAACTGACAACTAGCAACCTGCAATGCACATGATTACATCGCACTTACAAGGCATATCATTGCATCAACCGGTTATTAGAAGGAGGCAATGTAGTGTTTAAATTTCAGTAGATAAATTGACCGGGTTGCATAAAATTGATTGGGTAAATATTTTTAATAATTTTTCCATTACTTTGTTTTTTTTTTAATGTTTTTTTTTAAGTTTTGCTTCATTTTTATAGTTTATATTCGATTCGACCATCAATATTTAAAGTATGCAATGCAACTGTTACTGACACCGAGGGTGTCATGGGTTAGAAAGAGGAAACAGGTTAGTCTGTAGGGAAGACAGTTTCTAAATATGCAAGCATAGTCAAAGTGACTGATTTGGTATTCCTCAGAATTACAGAAGCTGAGAAGAGACGAGTGTATGTGTAGTTAACTAGCTGGTTTACTAGTGAATCATCTGTAGAAGAGAAACAACTAAAATTTTGAAATTTTTGAAGAAATTTTAACTGCAGAATACGATAATCATCCTGTCATGAGTGGAATAAATGTTCAATTATTTATCATATCGCTGTCTAACTCTCTTTCGACTGTTTACGGCTGGTAAAGAGTGAACTACCTAAATGATTCGTACGTTTAAGAATTGATCGACTTAATAAAGTTTAGAAAGTTTCGAATTAAGTTCAGTTCATGATAAATTTGAATAGATATTTTTAAAAAATCTGAATATATGTGAAACTCAGTAGTTATTGTATAATGTTTTCAACACATCTCAAAACTTATAAACTTTAGCAAATGCATAATTTTGCTAATGAATAATAACTTGTTGTTGTGAAATTTTAACTCAATATTTTAAATTTTTACAGTTTTAAAAATTCAATTATCAATATATAATCAGTAATAAGCTATACAATCAATTCAATAAATTCAGTAATTAATATAATAATAAAAATAAGTTAAAAAGGTCTTCGATGTCCACTTTTCGATCATTTAATAGCCCTTGTAAAGATTTTAAATGATTAATATATAATCAGTAATGAGCTATTCAATCTATTCAATAAATTCAGTAATTAATATAATAATAAAAATAACTTAAAAAGGTCATCGATGTTCTCCTTTCGATAATTTAATAGCCCTCGTAAAGATTTTAATGCATAACAAAATTGCTTTGCACTGTGTTAAAATGACAAAACACAGAGTTAAGTCGTCTAAAAGTACATGAGCGAAACAAGAAAAACTATTGGTGCACCTTCAGTCAAAACAAAGAGTGTTAACAAAGAGCGTTAATATTCTTTGGTACAAAAAGCGCCTAATCGCAAAACTTCTATCCAAAAAGAATGAATTTGAAAGAAGAAACACATAGCAATGCAAGGCTTTTATTTGGTTAAGCAGTAATTGCCTTAAAATTAGAACATCTATCTAACTTCACTAGTAGTGTGGGTAATAGTCTATTAAGAATGACAAATGATAGAGTACATAGGTATACTATAATAAGTGTTCAGAATTTTTTACTTCCTCAATATTTAAAAGGACTTTAAATAAGCAAAATATAAGCAAATATCTGTTATGATAATATCTTTAGAAAATATTATATTTTAATATGTATTTAACAAAGTAGATGAGTAAGTGAAATGATAGAGGATTTTTTTTAGTTTTAGTGAAAAAAAAACAAATTTTAAATACGGACTGGACTAGCTGCGTCAACAGTACTTAGTTTTATGCAGCGCGCCTTCTTCTTTTTACCCCCCATCTGGAGGCCTGTGATGCCGTCGCAAATTCTTTTATTTTTAAGGTCCACTACTAGACTTAAGTTGTTAAGAAAATCTGCTTCAATTATTATTAGTATATACAGCCGATCTTCCTCTCTTTTCTAACCATAAAATCTCAACTTTTGCAGACGATACTGCAATCCTTAGTGTACATAGAAACCCCAAAGTGGCCTCTCAGAATTTGTCACTTCATCTGTGTCTTGTTGAGGAGTAGTTGACCAAATGGAGGATAAAAGTAAATGACTCAAAAAGTGTTCAAATAACTTTTGCACTAAGAAAAGAGACTTGTCCACAAGTTACGCTGAACAACACTCCAATTCCGCAAGCAAACGACATAAAGTATCTTGGCATTCATCTTGATAGAAGGTTGAATTGGAGAAAATTCATAGCTAGTAAGAAAACACAAATGAAATTAAAGTTTAATCAGCTTTATTGGCTTATGAACCCAAATAGTAAACTAAGTCTTGAAAATAAAGTCTTACTATACAACTGTATCATTAAACCTATATGGACTTATGAAATTAATATATGGTTTCAGCTGCTCTACAAATATTGAAAAGATTCAAATAGTGCAAAACTTCATCACACGTAAAATAACAGGAGCCCCGTGGTACGTAAAAAATTCCAATATCCATAAGGATTTAAACATCCCACTAGTAAAGGATATTGCCCGAGCATACATAGACAAATATCTTACGAAGCTTAGTGTACATCCCAACCCTCAAGCCAGACAATTGGTTCCAACACTTAGAACTTCACGTTTGAAAAAGAAACAACTACTGACCTGCTGATTTTGATTTGAATTTATAATTATTATTATTTAAAAAATATATTTTGATAAATTATTGCTAAATTGATAAATTTATTGATAAATTTTATTACTATTGTTATTATTATCAATTTTTAAGAGATTATAAATAACCCACAATCTACGGCTTTAAATTTTTATATTTAGTTTAAGATTTGCAAATTTATTGTTAATTTCTTATGTTAAGAAGGATTCAATACAAAATGAAATAAAAAAAAAAAATTATTAGATGATTCACGTCTGCAATTAGGAACTCCCACTGGAACTGTCAACGCAACCCTAAATTAACTTGCATTAATTTTGTTCCGTATGTGCTAATTTTCGTTCCGTTCGCGGCATATAGGCAGCATTGGTTGGCGATTTGTATCTTTCTTGGTAATATTGAAACTTCAGTTCCGGTGTCTATCAGGTGGCTTAAATTTGCATCTTTATCTTTGAAGAATAGGCGGCATGTTTGACCATTTTCCACTTCATCCGCCGTCGGGGATAAAGTGGAATTCAGTTTTCCGCTGAATTTCGCGGTTTCCTGAACTGACGTGGCTGCATACATTTTGTGGATTTTTCCTTAAAACGTCGGTGATAAAAACAGATATCACTTCTTTGTGCACTTAGTGTACGTTCTCTATCGCGATTTTTATCACCACTTTCTTTCTCTTTTGTTAACTTGAAAGGCTAGATCTTTTACCATCGTTTTAAGCTCTTTTATTTCTTTCTTCATCTCGGTTATTTCATCTGTTTTGCTACGCTCTACTGCATACACCGTTTCTGTATCTTCTACCTCTACTTTATCCGCGACTGGCCCACTGTGCTGAATTACCTTCTACTGTTGTTACTATCGATCTAACTGCCGCTGGCAATCTTTGCAGCCATAATGATTTTATAACGTCATCTACCATTGAGTTGCCGGCCATTTCTTTCATTTTTTTTAGTAGTTGCGTTGGCTTCATATCGTCCAGCTCCAACTCCGTTATTAATTTACGGACCGCTTATTAACCGCTTTTTTATTGTATCGTACTTTATTGTTGCAGGTGGGTCTCGAATTATGGTATGTGGGCTATGCACCCCAAGTACTTTGGTTCTAGGACACCGTCAGAGCTGGTTTATGGCACAAACATACATATGCCGGGAGAAATGTTTGATGATGAAGACAAACAAGAACCGCAAACGGTGTTTGTAAAGGTATTAAAAACCGTTCGTGCATAAGGATTTAAAAAGCAGTTCACACATATTCTTACGTAATGATGCTGTACGTCCTCCACTGAAGCAGCCATACAAGGGTCCGTATGAAGTGGTAAGTCGTAGCGATAAAATCTTAAAGATTAGGGTAAAAGGACGGAGAGTAAATGTTAGTATGGACTGCGTGAGACCGGTATACATGGCGAATGAAACCGGGGAAAAAACTGACAAGAGAACGAATGGAAGAACCTAACCACAGTGACTGCATTCAACATACGTACATCGAAGGTGACCCGAACGGGAAGGGTTGTACAGTTTCCAACGAAGTACATTGCATAAGTGCCGCTACAACAGAAAGTAGAATTTGACGTCAGTTGGGCGTCTAATTCTGTGTGGTGATAACGCAGTACACATACAAGAAATTAATTTGACAGAAGTTTTAGTAAACTAAAAAACAAATTTTAAATAAAAATTATATTGTTTATGTATAGTTTGTAATTGAGAAGTAAATCACAGGAACTTAATTCATTGTTTACCATTAACGATAATAAAGTTGTAGTTACAAAAAAACCTCAATTACAACAAGCGAATGGATGAATAATTCGTAGCATTTGGTTGAATTTAAGTGAATGGAAGGTGATTGAAGGGGCTTTCGAAGGGGTAAGCACTATATACGAGATATGCGACAAAGTAGTCCCAGCATAACTCCATAGCATCCTACAGTCCAACACTTAGAGTATATTTATCATGGCATTCTTGACCAAACTGATGTGGTTAGTTTTGATAAATTTTTATTGAGTGGTTACAGAAAGTAAATGTGGAAGAATTCCCGTTTATACCTGGCAGAAACAGGAACTAATAATGGTAACGTGTAGTTGATTATATTATCGTCCTCTATATCCTTAGAGGATGTTATCAAAATTAAAAATAAAACAAATAAATAAATACACTAGCGCATAAGGTGCTCGTATGGGTAACTTACCAATTCATTGTATAATTACTTAAGCAGTTTTAATTAATTATGACTATAATAAATAATCATATTTTAAAATAGTTCATGATTTTCGAAAAATGCACCTAAGTTTCTTAAAAATACTATTTACACAGTTAATGACACGTAGGGCCATGAGACTCTATCATCTAGTGCAGTTCAGATCAGATGCGATCGCGGACCAATAGAAATCACTGGACAGATTGGAGGGTCGCAGAAACAAAAACATACGTTCATAGTTGTTTCCGGTAAAAATAAAATCACGGTTATAATGTTAAATTTAGTTTTGTGCCCCGCGGGCCGTATTTTTGACAGTTCTGATCTAGTGGGAGAAAGGGACAACACACACACACAGAGCAAGAGTTCAATGATATTTTAAGTTCATCACATCTCTATTGTCTTTTTAGCTAATATCCGTCCATTAGATTAGTAAAATTTGGGTTTGAATTTTTTTTCTATATGTTTGAAAAATATGTTTTTTAATTTTTGGAGTTATGAAAAACTGTATTCCTTTACATTTAAGACATGTTCCTAATTGACTCTTTTAATCAAACATTCACCAAATTCAGTCACAATCTTTAATCGATTAAGAGTTGTATAGTAGACCTTCTTAATTTCTATTAAGGATTAATTAGTAATAAACTCTATTTCCATATTCAACAAAAAAATAGTAAAACAAAAAAGGAGAAACTTCTGACTCATATAACTATGTGTTTTTATTCCAAAAAGAGTTAAAGATCTGAATTTTATTTTATGTTCAATAATTGAATATTTGAAAATTGAATATTTAAATATTAAACGACTTATTTATGAATTATTTTAAACAATAATTCATAATAATAGGCACAATTATTCTCACAAAACCAAAGCCATTGTTGTATCAAATGTCTTCATTAAAACTTAAACCAGATTTTAAAGCTAGCTAAGCTAAAAAAATATGAACTGTTTGTTTCGATAAATTTAGAACACATCATGATTATTACGGACTGTGGTATCTTAACAACATTTATTGAAATAAGACTCTCAAATTTACCAGCAAGTAGTAGTCAGTTTGAATGAAAGTGGTATTACAATCATACTCCCGCAACACATCCAACTAACTGTCATGAAATCCAACTGTCACAATTACCTCATGCTTGAATCGCAAAAATATGCAAAAAAGCCTAACCAAATAGGAAAAAGGCATCAGCAAATAGAAAATGCGCATCTATAACATCACAGAGTATGCTGGACTCATGGTCACACATTCGCTTCTTCACACAAATCCAATTCCCCTAAAACACTACAAATACCCGAAAGTTCATTAGCAATACGCGATCTATCGGACAGATATAACCCTTTGATAATAGACAAGATTAACTTAACTAAACACAGTAATAACATAACAACGACATAAGTCTTGTTTGAATTAGTAAGAGGAAGTCTTGCTTTGTGTTCCCATTATTGTAAGCTTCTCAGGCATTCATATTTTTTTAATAGGAATTAGAAGCTTCTTGAAGTGGAGTGATTATTCAAAATTATTGAAATAAAAATAAATATTAAATATCGATACTTCCAATTATTTACGAAAAATGGAACTTCAATTTTTAAGCTAGTCTTTACTAATTAAACTCTTCCTGCGCACCAGCTACCTAATGGGACAGACGGTTTTGAGCCGCATTCCAACTACGATGAACCTGTAAATCATTTTAATGTTATGTACTCGTACTGTATTAAAAAGACATAAATATGAGCACATAAATATGAGCGTACATTGAATTGTGTTTGAATCAGCAACGTCAAGACAGTGATGAATTTGTTTTAATCCCTACCAGCGACCACTATTGCCAAACTCCGCAAACTTACACTTGTAACTCCCATATTCCAGTGGTATGAGTTACGGGTATGTGCATTTGAAACGGTTTTCATATTTAAATAACAATTTCCTGCTTATAAAGCTGTGATTTGTTAAATTGAGGAAAATTCCTGCTGTCTAACTTTTCCCAACGGATTACGCTTAGCGAGAATAATATTTTAAATAAAAATTATAAACATTAATATCTACGGAACTTATCAAAACGATTTTTCTCTTTTTCAATTTTTATGATATTTCAACGATGTTCACCACATTGACAGCAACGGGCGCACAGAAAAGGACATGCACTGCCGCCGCCTGTGGTATTCCCCACTTTTGAAACTATGCAATTACATTGATTAAGCTAATCTTAATTAGACGTGATTTAAGCTCATTTGAATTTATTTGTACCCTCTTAAATGCAAGAACTGAGTGCGCCCAACCTTATCAGTCATACGCTACTTGATAAAACTGGATGCCACATTCTTTAAGCTGAAAAACTAGTACATTTACTATCGAATCACAAACCCGCCAAAAACCAAAATAATTCTTAATTTTCCTTTTTATTTGGCATTCGTACAAATTCAACACAAAAAGTAACTAAAAAAAATGAAAATATTCCACATAAATATTAATGATGTCTTAACTTAAATTAATAAAACCAACTGGACAACATAGTCACATTGCCAAACTATATATCGACGATCAATCATACTCGAGTAATGAACTAGAAAAAGAGGTACGAGTACCACAGCAATGGCGAGATATGCGAATACGACAACATTTTAATTCAAAGTTACTCCGTTAAGTTTTTAATTCATTTGATCCATCAAAGAAAGGTTCATTGAATTAGAAGAAGATTAACAACCATTGCCTTACTTAAAGTCCATTGTTATGAAGTCTTCCAAAAACCTTTTCACATATTCACTTATTAAATCATTTTATTGTGGATTTCAGTCATTTCTACAAAAGAAGGATATCCATTTCTTAACTGTAGAATTTCTTATTTATGGTCGCTGAACTTAGCTCAGCTATATAGTTATATCTTATCTCAGCTATATCTTAATGTTTATATTATATTTTTTAATATAGTATATATTAATAACATATTCCAACCCATATTTTGACTTGACCATAACGGGTCACATCAGTCTAATTAATCTTTTTTTAATGACTTTGTATATTCCATTTGATTAACAATTGATATAACTTAAATAACTTCCTTTGTGCAAACGAAAGCGATGTTTGCTTTGAAGTCCCTTGATGAAATGAAGAAATCTTAAATATTAAACTAGTGATCATTACTAGGGAAACAACATAATAAACCACAATAATAGTCGATATTATTTAGCCTTAGCTGGCAGGGAAGTTGTGCTCTGCACCAGGTAACTTTAAAAAGACAAATGAGTTTTATTTGAGTCTACCGATAGCAACAATATTGTTGGGTAAAGAACTAACAACGTTTCTCATTAGTTGAGTGTTGTTTACAGAAATATAACTTTGAAAATGCATTCTGATAAGATCTTTAAGAAATTAAAGATTTGGATCTGAGAAAAAGTGCACATATAATCTAATATTATCTTTGTATACTACGTGTATTGCAAGTATATATACGACCATACGTTAGTATAAATATGCTATCAACACGTCTAAATCACTGATGTATTTTTGATTATTGATTTGATGTTAATTCATTTTTATTCTAATATGTTAATTTTTTAATCATTACTTGAAACATTTTCTACATTTTGCAAAAATATATTGTTCGCAAGATATAAAAAATACTAAATTCCATTATCTTTGATTTCAAAATAGTTTCAAAAATGATTTACGAATTTATGTTATCATTATGTTTTCTGTCTAAGTACATGACTGATATTTCTTTTATGATATCCACTGCGAGATTTTACATTGTTTCAGCTACTATTTCTCCTATGTACAATCTAAAATATAATATTATTTATAGTCTTTCTAATAAAAAGTAAGTAAACAATTTCGAAGTGTAGGTGCATGAAATGGAAATGACCATTGTAAATGTAACCAAAGACTTTATTTTCCCAACAAGTAGAGTTCTATTAACTATTAGCATGTAGGACCGAAATGAGAAGTTAGTATACATTGCTGAATTTATAAGGGGTTATTGAATCCATCAATTTAATCGTATATATTTAGTTCCTTTAAAATACCACAGAAAGATGTTGAGTTTTATATTATATATATTATCAATTATCAGAACAAAGTAAAAGAAAACGAGATTTATCATAATATTGGAATAGACAATCATAGCCTATTATAAACTTAAATTTTTTACAGGAAGAGTTTGAATTTGTTAAAAATGCAACTAATTTACTGACAACCATATGTGACCAAATTAACGGTTATAGCAACTACTGGGTCTCAGTTGACTAATTCAAAGCGAAAACTTAGAATTGTTGTCGGAAAATATGAAATTACAAATAAATCGAAAAAAGAGGTGCCATAGACATCGTAGTCAACGTCACGAGTGCAGTAATTGGTGTTCTGAATTTTGAATATGCTAAACAAATGGCACAGACCATCTAACACTTAAAAGACAACGACGAAAATCTCATTCATCTACTAAAAAACCAAACTTCGATATTAGATTCCACACTGATTATCAGGCAGAGAGATTGATAACTTGCTCAATCAACCTTCGAACTAAAAATTAAAGTGTTGAATGATCTGCAGAACAAAGTAAAAGAAGACGAAGACGAGATTTATCATCTTAAACTTTACCAACTATTCGCTGCAATCGCAACACAATTGCTGAGTGTAACAACCAATGCGCAGTTTTACGAGATTGCAATTTTAGGCGTTTTAACTAATACCAATCATGGTAAAATCAGTCCACTTTTGCTGACACTATTGCAACTTAATAACGAAATTACTACACTTCTGGAACATCTTAGTCCAACCACACACTTGCCTGGAATTACGAGCAATATCTCTGAGCTCTATTCTTTAATGACTGTCACCAGTGATTTAGTGGATACTAAAATTCGGTTTCGAATAACGCTGCCAGTAATCTGTGACCAAATATTTGAGTTGTTCTCTGTAATTCCAATACTAGAGATTCGAGACAAAACCTATCAGCAAATTATACTATGCACTGCTATGATAGCAGTTTCACCATATCAGATATTCAGTCAAATCGATGCAGAACATTACAAGACGAAAAACACCTTTATATTAACACCCCAGAAGTTACTCTCCAGGTTCCTGCAAATGCGAGTGTGAACTTAACCTATTTAATAACCGAACAGCATCCTGCCCCTAACAATGTTCTAACATGAACATATTATGGATTCAACATAACATAAAATCGTTGGATATTTGCGTCGAAAGAACCTGTGCAATTTAACGCAATATGCAATTATCACCAGAATGTGTACTTAAGCAAACCACAACATCATTATATAGTCATTGTATGTTGACTACTCGTTTAAAATACTCTCATACGAGTTTCCATTCACATCCAATGAATGTAACAATACACTAGCAACAATCACTAAATTGGCTGAACATCATTATTCCCATGCTTGGTGATGACATTAATCAGCGAAAGACAGCATTAAGAACAGTTAAACTACAAGAAGAACTGCCTAAAGATGAAACAGCATACCATCAGCATCATTTTATCATCGAGTACTTAGCACTGGGAAACAAAAAAATCAGAACCAAGTCGTAAACAACGATCCAGTACCTCACCCCCGAACACACCAACAAACAATCATTATTTTTTATTGTGGTACTGTGATAATTCTGTTGTTCCTACAGGTGTAATATGAGTTGGCACATGGCATAAGTGATAACTCATTTAATTCATCAAATTTGTAAGGCACATTAATATATGACAAAACACATATACCAGCTAGCTAAGCTAACTGCATTACGCAGACATAGTGTAAGCTAAGGTAATGTATAGAATTCTCACGAGTGCCTTTAGCCTTGATTTCTCAAGGTCTATTGGATAACAAATCGTGGAAATTAGGTGCATTTCCTCTTTTAGCATAAGCTAATGCTAAGATTTTTGTATAAAAGCTTAAGATTTTTTAATAAAGAGCTATAAGTGTTTTCTTTAGTTGAAGTGCCTAAGAAACCTTGAATAAATTGGTTTATGTGCCAAATTTGTGACTAACCAAACACAGAAGAAAAACAATTATAAAAAATATAAGTAACTGGTTAAAGTACTAGATTACTTTCGTTGAGCTAAGTTGGTTAAAGTGCCAAATTAGAAAATCTGTATCAGACTAGATACGCATCATTACAATGACTTCCATGATATTTTGTGTTCTATTCATGATAATGTCTACGGAATTTGTGACGCAGTCCACACTGTTCAAAGTTCTGAATAGTTATATGAGTTTCGTAAACCTCATATAGGTTTAAAAAATTCCAAATATTAGGAATTCTCCTGATGAAGGCAAAAGCGAGTTTGCCAAAATACGTATAGGAGTATAAAAAAAATGCAATCCAAATACAATCGAAATAAAAGTTAAAATTTTAAAAAACAAAACCGACTTTAAAATATATCCGACGTAACAACTCAAAAATTTTAAAATAAAATTTTATATAGCTTATTAGCTCATTTACTAATAAGAAACTCTGATATATTCCAAAGAAAGACTTCGTATTTCGATAATTTATTTTAATTTTTATTTTGTATGAGAAGTAATCCAAAGCCTACATTTTTAAGAACTTAGGTATGTAAAATGAAAAACTGGTCCAATTGAAGAAAATACAAAAGTGATTAATTTTTTACCTCCAACAGAGTTTAAAATTAGTTCTGAAAAAATTTAAATAACTCGAAACTGAAAACAATAGAATTCAATAGAAGGAAATATTTTTTCTAAATTTTTTCCAATAAATCCCCAAGCAGAGCCAGCAGTGGCAGAAGGTGATAAGTCACGTGAAATGTCATTACCCAAAGCAAGAGACAGTATATTGGGTATCGAGAAGGTATAATGAACTAGAAGAAAGAATGATGAAACAAAAATATGAAGCTTTCAGTATTTGAAAGTCATTGGTTCGTGAAAAAGTTCCTGTAAACCTAGCAACAACTAGTAGTGCTAACGATGAAGATGTTCTCCACGGTACAAGAGCAAAAGCTAAATGCAACAAGGATCAGCGCCCAGGAATTATCATAATACGCTCTATTATTAGAGGGTTGAGAATGATTCTTCCTAGCAACCACTTAAATGTAATCAATCCAAAGAAAATGAATGGAATCGGTGTTAATCACGTGAAAGATATAAATTTATATTAGATTAAGATATTAAGTCTTTTGGTAATGGAACGATAACTGGTAGAAATTAAAAAGAAGCATCAGGAACCCCGAGACAAAGAAAGAAAAGAAAAAAATGTAGGCGTACATGTCAAACAAGTGAACACTGTGAAAAGGATTAAGAAGTAATCATCTGAACAGCGAAAACCAGTTTTAAACATACAAAAGAAAACGGATCCAGCCAACAGATTAAAAAGAAAACGAGATATGGACGAGGATAGTTTACATTTGCGAGCAAAATGCAATTATTTTTCTTTTTTTCTGCATTTTTATCTTTTCATTTTTCTATATATTTTATGTATTAGATGTATATTTTTGTATTTCTTTTCTTTTTATTCTTACTATGATTATTATTTACATTATTAGAAATGTAATCTCTCATAATCAAGAAAGTAAGAGATGCCAAAAATAACCATTAATTAGCTTAGATTAGTGGACCATCAGATGATGCACTCTGAACTCTAATTTATATCCTTAGAGCTATACTTATAATAATATTTTAATAAACAAATAATCTAATCTGCTTTGTAATATTTTGAGGAGTTACTGAAGTGATAAAACAGGATGAAGTGCGGCGCGTTATCTTTTAATTATCACTAGTTGACGTGTGGTTTATGGAACGCTTCAGAAACTTGTTGAATGGTCTACTGTCTTGATTCAATTGCCATGATCGAAAATATCAACAAATAAAGACTATCGACCATCATGGTCCTCAAACAATTTCAAACGGTTGTACTTAATTTTTTCTGACTATTCGAATACCTAAATTTTCGTATGAGCTTTCTAGTCAGCGAGCTCTTTCGTTTGTATACGAATTACTGTGTTGTGAATAATTTTTAATCATAATATCATGATATTAAAAAATTAGCTCGTAATAGCGTGACAGTCCCTTCGATCTATATATCCTAGGTTTTGTTGAGCATCGATGAAATCACATCTTTATTAAAACTTTTATAGTTATTTTGCATATATTCTGTTGAAAGTTTTTTTGTCTTCCATTGCGGCATTGTCATTATGATTCTATCCATTTCTGTCACAAATCCTTTTTTTTCGACACGCACTACAATCTCGTAATAACGTACTATATTTCGGGATAAAGATTTTTTTGTTAGATATTCAAAGGCTCTGTATAAGTAGCTATTTCAGTATTGAACTGCAGAGAGTAGAGTAGAAAGGCTTTGTAATTAGCAAGCTATTTTTATCAATCCCGAAGATAGATGTATTCAGTTAGGGCGGATTGGAGTGTAAGTGAAGGGGGCAGGATTTACGCAAACTTGCGAGAGGGTCCAGCTAACCAGCTAAAAGTAATCACTACGATCCGCTTCATGGAGGTTGTAGAGCGGAATGCGTGATAGAAGAGTAAATTCTTCTTCATGATAATAGGCAAGAAGTTGGAGAACTTATGCCTCATGGCCTCAAGCAGCATAGTTGGGAGGGTGTCTACCTGGAGGATGTTGGGAGGATTCCAATTACGTAAGAAGTATCTACAAGTAAAAGAGAAAAGGTACTCGTCTATTGTAATTATGTTTGCCATTTGGCCTACATGGTATTGATATAATTTCAAAGAAATCTTCTTTAGAAGATTCAGATTAATTTCATCTGGTGGACAGTAATTCCGGACCAGATTGGAAAGATGTGAAAAGAGGAGTCGAATGAGTTGCTTATAGCCAAGAACTATTACTTTACTATTAAACTGATTGTGTCTACAGAGTGCATTTTTGAGGCTTTTATATCTGAATGTGGCATTCTTGATGGCATATTTAACGTAGAATACGAAGTTGTGCTTGAAAGTATAATACAATTCCAAGATATTTTAGCTCGTCAACAAGCTGAATAGGGGAGCTATTAACGCTAAAAAGAGATGTTTTTGTTAAACAGGAGAATATAACATTTGCCAAATTCTTTATCTAAAGTTTTCATATTTCATTTTTAAAACATATTAATATACATTAATATGTAAAAATTAATAAAAATTTTATTAATAATAATTAAAATATAATAAATATTTAATAATCAAGAATAAATTATAACAAACTTTATAATAATTGCTAATTCTAAGCATATAATTAATTTAAATATATAAAATTTATCACAATTTATTTTGCTTCAAATCGAAGATTATGAAGGTCTTAACGTGATCAGTACGTTGGCCAATTAAAGCTATGGACTTATTCTTCCATTTCTCGTAGTAGATGCAGAGATTTCTGAGGCGGTTATTAAGCTTATTGAAGATTCTGCTGGGGAGGTTAAACCTCATGTAAATGAGACAATCATCTGTGTAGCAGATTTGCTTAAGGTATTGGGGTGGAGGGTAGTTCGGTAGTGAAAATATTAAAAAGGATGGGACCTAGTACTGAACTCTGAAGGACTCCGACTGAGATGGGATATTTAAAAACTCAAAGTAAAGTATTGAATTTTACACGTTTATTGATGTTTCTAATCGCTTACTTAATTATTGATGTTCAAAGTCAAAGTTATATTCAGCATTGGATAGACGTTGTCGAATCACCGTCTAAGAGTGCGAAAATTTAAATCAATAAAAATTTGGATAGCCAAACATATGATAAAAGTCCCATACCTCCAATATATAAAAAATCAAACGAAATATTGAACCTACCTTATGTTATTATGAATTTTTTGACGTCTTTATACCTTAAGTTATTAAATTTCAGAACTTAGATATCAAACAGGAACCAACTCCATTGGACAACTGTTTTTAGTAAACTTAGTGAGAATTATAATTTAATTTAATTTAGTCGCTTACTTGATTATTGTCTATTGTTAAAATACTGTTACAATCTGTTGCAATCTCTTGTGATTTCCCATAGGTTTACCGCAATTCATATACCGGTTGGTCGGAAGATATTTAGCTCCCATAGACAACTGAATGTGTAACGCAAAAAATAAAATAAAAAAAAATGTAAATAAAAAAAAATAGACAGCTGACAAAAAAACACTTCAAATATATTCACATATTGCTCACGCAAAATAATTGGTATTCGAGTAAAAAAGTGATTAAAACTAACTATGGCAAAAGATCAATGCTAATAAAAATTGACGCCTCTAGGCTCACCTTTTTACCATAAGGATAGGAAAATCCTGGATCAATCATACTTTTTTGATTAAAGTTCATAACAAACAAAACGCTTGGCATTACCAAAACTCAAACGCAATGCTTCAACAAATTAAAGCAGTAGTACCATTCTCCATATACAAATGGGAGACCAGTTTTGTTTTATTTAGGCGACAAGTTTGTAACGCCTAAATGTAGGTGTGGTTCATTATTCAAATCCTCTTATCTACACACTTTCTTGTACTCTGATTTCAAGTCCCACCATTCATTTCAATTTCCTGCACAGTCGATCTAAGCAGTCTTTCTGATTTAATAAATACTATTTAATGAGTATAATTTATACTAAATAATATATTTTTAAAACTAAATGTAAAGTTTAGATTTAGAGGTGCATTTACATTTTGGAAATTCAAGTAAGGATGCATAATTTACTCGTATATATAAGAATACTCTTACTTATAGTCAGCGAGTGTGGTCAGATAGAGAAACCAATTCCGAATCGTAAAGCCACTAAGTTTTTTAATGTTTCAAAAAATCATTTTAAATTAAAAAATTTATTTATGTTAAAAGTGCCTCCTTTTATTGATTGCTGGGCAATTTACGCAATTGGGTCGTTTAAAACCTTTGATTACCTTAAGTTGCTGCAGAACTAGGCGAGGCACACACCCATTCATCTTGGAAGAGTTTCTCTAAATGCAGTCGCATTAAACTGTCAATCAAAATTGTGATAAGTGAATTACTAATTTAAATTGCAAAAATCATACTTAAATATTTTGCAATCAGACGCGAAAATTGAAAGTTTATAAATCGCCCCTACGAACACACTCAATAGAATCGTCCGTTAGCAGTCATGGAATTAAGGTGTCCAAAAGAAAAAAATTCATAAGTTTTTGCTCAAGCATGCCAACCAATTGTCAAATGCTGCAATGGCTGACCTTATTTGCCGCATGTCGGTGGGGCGCTGAGAGCAGCGTAAGCGAAGTCAACTTAATTACGAATTTCACTGTAAAATTAGTTAAAACTCAACAGGCCATCATATTTGCATGTGACCAGAAAGGTATTTGCACTAAGCGCATTTAGCAGAAATATAACGCACACATTTACGTAATTAATTAAACTTCAACTTAAAAAATCTAAATGCCAAAAAACGTTCTCGCTGAAACTTGTATCTGCACTTTGCACGCATATACTTGCACGCTTCTCGCACACCACAGCGCTCTTGCAGATCAGTTTGGCTCTTTTGCACTGGAATCAATTGGTTTATCCTATCAATCTTCATGTTAACTACTCACTTAACACGATATTGACACGTAAGAACCATGCGAGAACAAGTGTCGTTATAGATTGCGCCTGCGTACGCAGCCAGCAGCTTTTGAGCGAAGCATCTGCACAGCGCTACTTCAATAAGACCTACCAATGGCTGCTTTGGAATACCAACAACCTCGATGTAGAACAATTGCTGCCATTGGAGTTAGATTATTTGGGCCCGAATGCCCAAGTTACTTTCATCAACAAAAGCTTCTTCGAATATTCAATTTGGGATGTGCACTCTAAAGGACGACATTTGCGAAGCCCCTTGGAGTTGCAACTCATTGGCGTTTGGCACACAGACAGCAATTGCCCAAATTCTTCGTTAGCCATGGAAAAATATTTAAACATACATGCTGACATCTTTCAATTGCAAAGTATCAAATATCGTGATCAGTTTAAGGGGCTTACTTTACGTGGGGCAAGTGTGGTAAGTTAAGTGACATAACTAATTATCATTTCTAAATTGAGGAAAAAATAAAAAAGATTCGATGTATATAGAAGCCATAAATTTATTTAATTATTAACTCGAATAAATGTTAAGCTGCGAACGTCTGTCCACTGTAACCGTCTGTTTAACCTGTTGGCTGGTGGCCAATTTCTTTCACAGACATAAACACCGGTATACCGGTACTTTCATTTATATTTATATTTTATTATATTTATACTTATACTTTATCTATATAATAGGAGTATATATATACTAAGTACATGTATATGTTTTCATAAGGCACAACAATTCAAATACTGACATTAGTAACAGCCCATAATCTAGCTTATGATAACATTAATGACAAAAATTCAGGTAAACATATGTATTACCTTTCTTAGACCACATTAATCCTCTTTTTACACAGTCCATACAACTATAGATGTGAAATTAAAGTGATACATGTAAATACAGTTAACTCTGACTTAAAAGATATCTTCATAACAACTCTTAATAGATTCTGGTTAGGGATTAACTACTGGCCATTAGATACCTACCATATGGTTAGTTAATAATCAGAGCATTTAATAATTAGAGCATTAACTACGAACTGCAATGTCTATTAGAAGTTAACTTATAAAAAATGTTAAGCATGGAACTCTTAATATTTCGGAATTTTAACCTTTAAATGTATATTTCTATTTCTTACTTCAAGAAATCATGTTAGTGGACTAAAACAATTGAAAACGAAACACGTTGTATAAACTCATCTATAGACTAAAAAAAATATATATGGCTGATTGGTTGCAGTAGCAGGCCATTAGATAACTTCCATGTACTTCAATTAGCGATTTTTCACCGTTTTGCTCCACATTCCTCGCAAGAACCCCTAATATAGAAGAGTAAAGACTAAATCCATCCTGTTGAATTTAGATAATTTAATAGGGGTCTCGTCTTCACAGATGAACAGTCTGACAAACTACCAAAGAAGTGTCGTCATAAAAACCAATATCTTCTGGACACCAAAGCTGGGCAATCACAGAGAAAATGTATTACGGTTTCTGTTTGCTGCGGGTTTCCACAACTTCTGCAGTGGTGATTGTGAAAAATGCGTGGTTTCTCCGCGTGGGTTCCCATCCACCAATGACCAGAAAGAACTGCAGTAAGCCTTGCAGTATTTACGCTGCTTCTCTAATTGCTAAGATGTCAGCTCCTGTGACGCCAACGCATGCCATCCTCTGAATTCTGTTGAGTTTATCGATGTTATAGCTATTACTCAGAACTGGTCACTAAACAACAGCACAATACGTGAGAATTGGACGCATAATGGCCGTGTACATCCAATGTGTAATATCGGGACGAATTTCACTTTTTTTTCCCAAAATCCTTTTGCAAGAGTAGAAACCTACACAAGCCTCCTTGATTCGAAGATCGACTTTATGTATCCAGTTTAGCTTACTTTTCAACAGAACTCCTAGATATTTAACTTTATCTGATCATTTCAACTTTTGCTTATTTAATGAAGGCAACCTGAAAGCCGGTATTTTGATTTTGCTTCATTTCGGTTTTTACTGGGTTAACACCTAGTCCACATCCTGTGGCCCAAGTACTTATCCTAACCAAGGCCCTTTACATAATATCAACTATTACGTCAGGGAACATACCCGACACTAGAATTAGTTTATATTTAGTTTATATTTATTTAATTATAATTCACAAGCTTACAAGCTAACTTAATTATTATTTAAATTATGCTCTCTCATTTTCTAGTGTTATACAAATTTTATTTTATTTATATAAAAGCTTAAACTCTACAGCCTTTCTCCTAAGATGATAACTATACACCTATATAAATATACATGATATACTTAAGTAAAATATAAAATATAAATATAAAATATAATTACAATTAATTTTTATTTATTTTAAAATTATATAATTATATATTATAAATTATATAATAAAAATTGTAAAATATTTATTGGCAAATTATTTATAAGATGGAGAAATGCAAAGTACTGTATGTTTATTCCTTATAATTGCTCTTAATTTTACGCTCTCGCAGACGCGAGCAACGACTATCTAAATTCACATCCTCCCCCATAATAATGAAGGTTGACTCTACATTTTTTGTTTAATTTTGAATACATTTATATAAACTATATATAAATAATGAATGTATGAAGTAAATTTCAGATTGATCAGGACAATATTACTACTAATGAGCAAATTGAACGAATGCTTTCCCGTCCGACAAAGGATTTCGGTGTGGCTGCCTTCAGCAAATATCATTATGAGTTATTAGGAATTCTGCGTGAACGCTTCAATTTTACCGTTAATTTTCGGAACGCTCGCGGCTGGGCTGGTCGTCTAGGTAATACGAGATTTCGGCTCGGTTTTCTTGGCATTGTTACGCGCAACGAGGCCGATGTTGGTGCAACGGGTGCGTTTAATCGAATCAATCGTTTCGCTGAATTCGACACAATACATCAGAGCTGGAAATTCGAGACGGCATTTTTGTATCGTTTTACACCTAACTTGGATACGCACAGTAAGAGTGGTAATTTTCTTGCACCATTTGATGATCAAGTTTGGATTTTTTCTATTGCTACACTTATTGCGGTAAATCTTAACTGGCGTTTGGTTGAGTGGCTAAACGAACGGCGGCGTTACAAGAAGCAAATCATACAACACCAGAAAAAGAAGCACCAAAAAAAGCTACTAAAGAGTAACAAATTAAGGTTACCGCAAACTGCTGACCAAGTGCAGAATATACGGAACAATAGTGAAACTATAGTAATCGATAATTTTGTTAGTGAAATAAGTAGAAACAAAAGAAAAACGAATAACAACCAATGCGATATTTCATGCAGTCAAACGGCCACCGATGAGACATCATTAGTTGCTGTTTCATTGAAAACTTTTGCTGCTGTTTGCCAACAGGGTATAGAACCGATATCTGGAAGTCTACAAGCGCGCACAATTATTTTGACGACATTCTTATTTTCTTTGGTTATGTATAACTACTACACATCATCGGTAGTAGGTGGTTTACTGAGTAGTACGGCACAGGGTCCAGCTACAATCGATGAAGTAATTATAAGTCCACTGATGCTGTCTTTTGAAGATATTGGTTATTATAAAGTGCTTTTTCGAGTAAGTACTAATAAATATAAAATAAGAAATGTGTAGATTTACTGAAATTTTACTATAACATAACTACCCATCACTAGAAAATGTAAACAAAGATTATAAGAAAATCTCCGTAGTAATTCGTGACTGCATCCCGATCTAATATCTACTCATTTAAAATAGATTATATTTAAATAATATAGATGTAATTGTACAATTTAACTGATAACAGGAAAATAAGGCACCCTATATACTGCGTTTAATAGCTCGAAAATTACAACCACCACGCATTTCCTATGATATACCAGTTTATGCTCATATCGAAGATGCAATACCCTACCTCAAGAAAGGTGGTTACGCTTTTCATTGTGAAGTCGTTGATGCATATCCCGAAATAGCCAAACAGTTCGATGCTAATGAAATTTGTGACTTGCGCGTAGTATCTGGTCTAATGGAAACAGAGATCATGAATTGGATTGTTCACAAAAACAGTCAATATACTGAAATATTTAGAATTGCGTAAGTCAACGATTTAGCTAAATATCTAGTGAATTACTGCTATATGTATATTTATATTCTACGTCTCCAGAATGGGTCGTGCTCGTGAAGTAGGATTTGTGGAACGTCTACTAAAGCAGCGACAACCAAAAAAACCTATTTGTCAAGCCTTGTATACAGTATATCCGGTAAGCATAACAGGTGTATCGAGCGCTTTTATGATGCTGGGAGGTAAGTATGGAAATATGTAACATCAATCAAAATTAAATATATAAAAAATTTTAGGAGGATTTTTACTTTCTGCTTTCGGTATTGCAATAGAAAAATATATAAAGAAGCATAACTCAAATTACTTAAAATAAAATAAAATAAAATAAAATAAAATAAAATAAAATAAAATAAAATAAACGTTTCTGGAAATGGATATTATTTTGTTTTACAAAAGAAACATTACGATCTTTACACTATTTTAACTAGGAAGATTAAACTATCTGAAAGAAAAGAAAATACTTTTAATGGAAAAATAAAATTTAAGTTTAATGTTAATGCTAATGTTAATAGCGTCTTAAACTGGTATATCTGAGGTATCTTAAATATGCAGTAATACCACTAATACAATAGTTTAGTATATCCGAAAGTTTAATGAAGATGTAAAAGGATGTATTATAGCATAGTGTTTTACTTTTAGTTTCCATAAATAAAGAATTACTGCGAACTTTTAGTAATATAGCCCATTTCAAAAATATTTAAACAGGTACAGATAAAAAACGATAGGTCACATCACAATCAAATAGTCTCATTTAACATGCAATAAAACTAACTTAGCAGAAAATTCAGATTTAAATGGTTGCTTACCGGGCAAAGACATATTGTTAAAAATTTATTCAGACAGACCACGGTCAAAGTAAAAGTGCCAAAACGTATGCCACCATTACTAATGATATTTATTTTAATTCTTTTATATGTTTGTATATAGACTAGTAAGAACAAATTTACCTTATGCGCAAATATTATTTCTAAATTTCACAGATGAATAATTATTAAATCAATGGATTACCTGATGGTTAATATGAGTACTGATACCAACAAATCTTACTCTCTCTGCTCTTATGTAACCCAAACAAATGCAAGGCAATCACAAGTATTTTTAATTCAAATTAGCGTACGATATCTACGAAATGATAAGGATGTTTATCAGTACAGTTCAATCAGTGTCGAAGATACATCTACCATGGACAATGGATTTCATAAGCTTTTCGATGCCTCTTTTACTTTCCAGTGTAAGACCAAAAACGTCAAATTCTCTGAATTTTGCGGTAATACATATATCTGAAATCATTTATGGTCACATTATAAAAACAGAGCAAATTTTTCCGTAAGTCAGCTAGCTACAGTATAAAAGGGCAGAATCGTATTCGCATTTTGAAAAAATTAAACACGAAACTTATAGCAAAATTGAGGAGCGAAAAATTGCTATTGAGGAAAAAAAAATTAAAATGGATGATATGTGGATGGAGAGGAAAATGGAATGAAAATAATTAGAGCGTCCAATGAAGAAAGGAATTGCGAAACATGAAATTGATAAGAAATATAGTAACCAATAACAACAATAATAAATTAAAAATTAGTATTTCTAGTATATTAAGTTTTTATGTATTATTATTATATATAGAGAAGTTTTGAACAGTTCACTAAAATAACAAAAATTATTTTCATATTATTTTAACTAATTGAATTTTTGGCTGACCATACAGCTGTTTCGAGTATTGCCAAATACCTTGGCCTTGGAAATAATTCTTGTATTTAATTATTCGTAAATAATTTTTTTGAGACTGGAAATTTGACCAGGAAATTTGAAGTTCAGAGCCAGCACTCCTTAACCAACTGATCCAAAGCCGTACTTGACTTTTATTTTCGCACATTTTTCTGGAGTTTTGTTAATTTGCTGTGAAAGTTTTATTAACAAATTCAGTTGCTGTGTTTGTATTACAATGAAATCATAAACCAGCTGTAGAATAATTGAATTAATTAATTATATTTTTATCAACTTATTCTTAAATTATTGAAACATGCAATAGTATTATAGGCCTTTCGGGTGGCTCGCAAGTACGGCAAAAAACAGCAAGTTGCTGTCCTATGCAGGCCTATACTGGCCGCAATGTACGCAAAACAACAACACTATTTTCTCTACCTCGGCCAGCATAGCTATGCTGGCCAACCACATCGGCCAGTAAAAAAAAAATGTTACCAACGCAATAAGCGAACTATTGTGAACCTTCATTGAAAATTCCAACGAATAGTGCAATCCAATGTCAAAAATTGAGGAAATAAAAATTCAAACAGAATTCAAAAATTTGAAAAGACTTGAAAAGTAACGAAAAAATAATAAGAATGTAGAAATCGTAAGTATTAAGCACATTGAATTTTTTTTTATGTTAGTTATTACCAAGTAACATTTATTTTATTTCATTAAATTTGTAGTTTACATGCGTAAAAAATTTTTTTATAGAAATACACGCAAGTAAAACGTTGCTTTCTTCTCCCAACATCGACAGTACCTACAAAAATTTACTTATCTTAGTGTTTTATTTTTAAATTTCCAATATTCTTACCATTCCTTTTAATTCCGTGTTCATTTTAATTTTATAATATTTTTATAAAAATATATTTGATTTATATGCACATATACAAGATTTGCTGTTTGTCAAAACAAAACATTTGACAGATTGCAACAGTGATGCCAATGACTCGCGTGGCCAACATGCATTTTTTGCCGTACTTGCGAGCCACCGAAAAGGCCTTATATACTTAATCATCGCTCCCAATATTATTTCATCTTAATTAATATTAATTTTATATAGGTATTCTTTTAGTATGTTTCCATTGCCTTCATTAAAACAGTTTATTTGGTCGCTAAATGAAGTGAAAATTTGGGCCGCTTATGCAATTGATTAACTGTACAAAAAACTTTCGTACTTTCCAACTTATATAAATTAATAATAAATAAATAAATTAAGGGAATCACCCCAAAAATATTGAATTGTAAAATATTTTTTCCAAAAAGAAAAATAATTTAATTTGACATAATTAACACATAAAATGAACTGTAAACATACTAAAAACAACAAGTCAAACAAATAAAAGGAAAGTATTTTTTAATAAGTTTGTATTTTATAAAAAAAATTAATATTCAATAAATTAATTTCTGCTAACGACACAAAACGAAATAAACGAAATGTAAACAAACAAAATTTCTCCTAGAACTTTCACACAAACTTGTTTCATATGCATAAATCAACTAATGCGAATGGAAACGACCAAATCTCAATGTGATTAATATAAATTGATTTATCTGTAGTATTAAATAAAATCAACGGTAAAAGATATTTTTGGATATATCGGTAAAATAATTTTCGTAATATAACTTATTTTATATTATTATGTAAAAAATTTTAAATTTTTTCATTATTAGGCCCTTTCGGTGTCTCGCAAATATGGCAAGTATGGCTCGCAAGTAATGCATGCTGGCCTATATTGGCCACGCGAATCATTGGTATCACTGTTCCAATCTGTCAAGTGTTATGTTTTGACAATTAGCGAAAATAGCATAATGCAAGCAAATTACATTTTCTATAAAAATAAATAATTAACATAGATTGAAAATTAAAATGAATATAAAATTAAGAGGAATGGGAAAGATGTTGAAAATTTCAAAATAAAACACTAAATTGTTTCTTTTTTTTCCAATTTTTAAATTTATGAAATTTTTGAATTCTGTTTGAATTTTTATTTACATATAAATTTTGACATATGAGGTCTGTTCCACGAGCTACTCATAGTAAAACATGAGTAAAACAGAAGTAAAATTTACACAAAAATATTTGAAAATTTGCTGGTGGAACGCGTTTGTGTATACACAGTGTTTACTCAAAGTTACTATGAGTAGCTCATGGAACAGACCTATGATTGCAATATTCGTTGGAATGAAATTTTGACATATGATTACAATATTCGTTCCAATGAACGTTCACAATAGTGCGCTTATTGCGTAACACTTTTTTTTACTGACCGTTGTGTGTGGCCGAGGTAGAGGAAAAAGTGTTGCTGTTTTTCATACGTTTCGGCCAGTGTAGGGCAGCAACTTGCTAGTTTTTGCCGTACTTGCGAGCCACTGTTTTCAATTAATGAAATGTTGTTAATATCCGTACTAAGCTTTGAAGTGTAAAATGAAATGATTCAAAGAAGAGTAAATTTCCTGTTTTTTTTTTGTTTTTTTTTAACGAGGACACAAAAGCATCGTTAGGCTAAGTCAATGTGAAACTTTAATCCGCGAAAAACATGTCCTCATGTCCGGACGGAGAGTCCCTCCTGGAACTACCGTTAGGTATTACGTCAGAAAGGCGCTCAGCTCAAATCGTTAGTTATGTCATCTGAGTTCGTAACTGTCCTATTTCTTGGGGTAAGACCTCTTTTGTGGCGTGTTCGCTGGAAGAAGCCGTTCAATGGCTCTAAGTTGAGTCATGATCTTCGTAACAGCGGTCGATATCAATTGCCGTGTATCCGGCGAATTAATCATCTTCAAAATTAAATTTTCCTGGCAGATGCGCTCGCCAATAGCGTCACTCATCTCTGCTCTGGTTTCAGAGATGAGAGGACAGGAAAAAACAGCGTGGTTTGCATCCTCAACGACCCCTTCACAGCTGGGACAAAATGGATCTTCTTCGTGTTTGAAGCGATAAAGATACTGTTTAAAGACTCTATGTCCGGTTAGTATCTGAGTGAGATGGAAATCCACCTGTTCATGCGTCCTGTGTACAGAGTATGTGTCCACCTCCCTTTCATCGAGTCATTCCACCGTTGTTGCCATGTGAGCATGGTAGTGCTGCTTGCCTCATCCTTCAGCAATCTACTGAGGTCATGCGAGGGTTGACACATGGCCTAATGAGCGCATGCTTCAGTGTCAAACCGGGAGCTAAGCAGAAGATATTCTCAACTGCCTTTACAACCGAACTTAACAGGACGAATCAAAGATCGTGCTTTAAAGCTTGCCAGATTTTAACGGGACGGGGCAGATGACGTTTAAGCCTGAAAACCGTCTCGATCAGATTTCACTCTAGCCCATATTGGTAACAGAATACTCATCCACCAGCCCATGTCATCATTTCCAATTATTTTCTATTGTCCAGTATGCCATAATCAGGATCTTACTGGTATCGATCCTGATGCCTATTCTTATAGGCTTCCTCCGTTATCTTATTTAGTGTGTAGATTATGGTGCAATAGCCGCCCCTAACATGAGGTACAGTCGCTGCGCACTTCCTTTTCCCTCATTGGTACTGCAGCTACTCCTTGTATGGAGATCAATCACTGGCACTTACAACTCCCTCGTTGGCGCATCAACCTCTCTCAACAAAAGAAGCCGATATTGTGTGCTTGTGTGTCCCTCGTTGCCATCCCGTGATGGTGGACGCTTAGTTGGAGCCGGCATCTACTCGGCTCAGCTCAGGAGCTTCTCAGGGTTTCTGTGACCTTTTAAGCCACATCCTCCGACGCCTGGCTTCATTTTAGTCGCCTCATACGACAGGCATGCCTTACTGCGGAAATATTCTGACCCCTATCCTGCAGGAGTGTGTGTGTGTGTGTGGATATCTACAAAAATCTAATCAAACACGAAATTGAACGTACAAGACTGTCAAAAAATTAAATATTTTGTTGTCCATCAGTTTGTGTTACAAAGTTCGAAAATATTTGAAAATATTTGATGTGAAAAATGAATTGTACCTAATTATTTAAGTAAAAACATCATCCATATGGATTTATATTCCACATTCATTTCAATTATTTATTATTATTTACGATCCATACACTTCCCATGTATACATTTGAAATTGAAAATATTTTTAATTATTTAAAATTAAAATCTTTGTTGTCCTCTTTGTTGATCTTTGTGTTTTGCTGCCATATTATATAAAATTCAGGGTATCAATATTTCACACTAATGTTAAATTCTAAACTAGTGGCATCACTACAACCATTCAAGTGTCAACATTTTAATTTTGTACGTTTTGAATTTCGCAGGCTGGGAATGTCAACATGACGTAAAGCAGAAAATCATTTGATTAAGGTTCTTGTTTGTTTGAAGGTATATAAATTATAAAAATGATATCTTGCCGACAAATCTTACCAAATTTGTGCAGAGCCGTTGTGAAAAAAAACACGCGAAGAGGGTTTTTTAAGCTGAGTAAAAATAAGAAGTGGGTAAGCATTCTAATTGCAGAAAAGAAGTAACATGAAAGAAATATTTGTTTTGCAGAGATTTTGGCGCTTGTAATGTAGTGGAGATAGGTGAAGTTTCGCCAGAACGAGCAGTCCCCGATCACATACGTAAACCAGAATATTATTTTCAATTTATGAGACCGGGAAGTACGTTAGGCGTACCAGAAATAAAAAATCACGAGCAAGTTCATCGTATGAGAAGTAGCTGCAAACTAGCAGCACGCATATTAGCCAGCTGTGAGCATCTTGTTCAGGTAATCTTTTATGAACATTAATTGTATTCTTCTATACATAAAAAATTTATATTTAATATTAAGAAAGGTACGAAAACTGATGAAATTGATGCTTTCGTGCATGATCAAATCATAGCTGCAAATGCTTATCCATCGCCTTTGCGTTATGCAGGATTTCCAAAATCAATTTGTACTTCAGTAAACAATGTTGCTTGTCATGGCATACCTGATAATAGAGCATTATTGGATGGTGATATGATCAATGTAGATATAACTGTATTTTATAATGGTTACCATGGAGATTGCTCTAAGACATTTTTGGTGGGAAACGTCGATGAACGTGGTCGCTATCTTATAGAGTGTACGGAGAAATGTTTGAAAAAATGTATTGAACTTTGCGCACCTGGTGTGCCTTTTAGTGCAATTGGACGACTTATAACACAATACTGTAAAGAAAAGGATTTAGGTGTACTACCCGCGTTTAGTGGTCATGGCATTGGAAGTTATTTTCATGGCCCGCCAGAAATCTGTCATTATAGTACGTAAATTCATTTTTTGCTCTTCAAAATATTATTTTTAAAAAATTTGTATAATCATTAACATAGAAAATAATATGCCAGGTCATATGCAACCTAATATGACGTTTACAATAGAACCCATTTTAACATTAGGTGGGCCCGATATTGAAATACAGGAAGATGGCTGGACAGCAATGACTGTAGATGGTGCTCGCAGTGCTCAGTTTGAACACACTGTGCTTATTACGGAGCAAGGTGCAGAAATTTTAACAATCTGAACTGCTTGTTTAATATAAAAAGAGTTAAATTTGCTTTCTCGACTATTTAAAGCATTTAAAGTTAACATCATATATTTTAATCTTTTTAATTAATAATTGTGATTTGTATCCCTAAGTACAAAAAGTGTTCATTATGATTGCTACAGATTTCATTTTATGTTTGAAAGAAAACTACGCGTGTGTAATAAAAAGGAAATATAAACAATTTTATGTTCGTAACCCTGCAAATCAAAAGTGAACTATTCAATGAATTGAAAACAATATTTTTCCCAATACATACCAGAGACATGTGTGTTGGGAACGTGATTTTCTCCGTTTTCCTAACGAACAGTATAACTGCAATAACTTCTTTTAGCATAATTTGGAAATCGGATCGAACAGCTTATGGGATAAATCCAGATGCTTCTCGAACAAACTTCAAATAATATTAATGATCAAGATAAAGCATTGCCTTGAAAAGTTATCATAACTAAAGTGAAACTCACTAAGTAAGTATCGCTTCGTTGTTTTTGTTTATCGATTTAATATAAATTTTTTGTGTAAAATTATAGTTTACTTTAATATATCTTAGAATATCTACTACTTCGACATAAATATTTTTATTAATAATATTATTGAAATTTAAGTTAAATGATTTTCTAGAAAAATTGATTATTATCAGTTCTAGAAGCGCACATCATTTGTTTGAATATAAATAAATATGTAGCGCAAGCTTTACATTTCATTCTTGGTTTATTAGAAATAATGTGCCCTCAATTAAAAATTATCATCATTTCCTAACAGTAACGTATTTGATCATCAGTGATATCGATTATCAGCAACAGATTTTTATACTTCATACAAAGGTAGTGTATTTTTCGGGACTATTGTTTTCAAGAAGCATTCGCCCTAAATTGCTGGTGGGAAAGAACTATTTATTCGTGCAGCAAAAACTATCTTAACCTAATCGAGGTATGAATATAGATACAAGTAGTTGTCACCTCTAAATATTCTTGTGTTAAGTGTGTATCACAACCGCAGTCCTTCGTTGCTCTATTAAAGCACTGTTGTTTTATAACTTCTAATTTATGATTTTAAAGGTGTAGCTTACGTTCAACCTTTCTAGCAAGTTTTGTAAGTCTTTTATGTGTTTAGCAGAAGTCGCATTTTAACTAAAGTAAATGTGATGTTCAACACTAATGTTGGAGTTTCACCGTTCAGTTTAGTGCACATTTCCCTCGACCTATTTATAAAATTGTTCAATGTTGCTGATTATGGTGATACATTTGTTTGTTGTTTAGATGTACTATATCTCCCAAACAATTTCTTTATCAGGAGGGATAAGAGAAAGTATAATAAGCCTATAAAAATGTTTATGAACAATTATCAATGGAGTGTGCTGAATATTATGATAAGATACGCCAGAAAACGATTTTATTATCTGCATGAAGTTAACATCGAACTAACAGAGGTCTAGAAACATGAACCGAAAAAAATTATAAGATTTATTATTAATCTTAATCTGAATCCGGATTAGAGTAGAAAATTACTAAATAAATCTGTAACAATCCCGTGGCTGAAGCTTTGTGAGGGCCACTAAATTATGTATTATTTATTAAATTTATGTAGGTTTCTAAAAGTCAACAGTTCTCGCATGTTAATGTAAAATTTCGTTACTTGTTAATGTGTTATTTTGTCAATAGTTAAACTACGATTGGGACATTAATCAACAGTTGGTCGTCGGTGTTAACAAGTGGTTAATGTTCTTTCTATTTTAACACCACATCATAAAAAATTGAAACTAATTTAGATACAGAGTTAAGATTTAATTGAGCTTAGGTTAGTAGACACTGTAAGACAATTGAGCAGATGAATGACATCTTATAGAAAATAATTGCAATTAAGACACTCATCAATTGGGTTCAAGTTATTTGTAGCACAGCTGAAACCATAGCACGCATCAGGAATATATTGAATTATATAATAATATGTATGTATGTAGCCGAACCCTGCTATATAAGTTGACTCAACACAGTTAATGTAAGGAATAGGTGTAGTTTTTTTTCCTAGAATTGTTAAATCGATGACTGTTAAGAAAACAATCGCACTGTATGTTAACATACTATTCTCTTGAAGAAAATAATGGATCGGCACGTAGGACTAATAGCTTTAATTTGTATTCAACATCTCTTGCAATGTTAAATCTTTAGCATTAATTTTCAACATGTTCAAGAAACGAAGACTAGAATACTCGGTTTTGCTAATTGATGCACCATTGGTACGTATAGTTAGGTCACTAAAACAAATTCCTTAAATAACACAGGCAGGTAATGGGCGTATGAAATATTGAATATTAACATTCCTATAAGTTTCTGTTTTTTTTTTTTAAATTTCGTGTTAGTTTTCTATAACGATTAAATATTAATAAATAACCTTATTTATAAAAACTAAAAAAATAAACTTTTTACAAATTTTACCGCTAATTTTATGAAATAATAAAAAGTGATGAATCTGCTAACAATCATTCAACTAAACATACTTTTTTGAGTGAATTTTTTCTCAAATTTCTTATAACATAATACTTCTGTTCTACGAGCTACTTGTAGTAACTTTGAATAACTCTGTGTATATACAACCGCGTTCTACTAGTAAATTTTCGAGTAAATAAGAGCAACTGAGAGAGCGCAACATCCCATCTTTCAAGTAAAATTTGTGTTAATGTGTGGATCAGCTGTTTTGGTTTGCATTTAAATTTAATATTTTATTATACAACACAGAACTAAGTAATACAACGCAACCAAAATATAATACATACTTCGAGGTAGTGAATTTATTGTTATATAAATGAAGAAAACGAAAATGTATAAAGATTATATACGAGATGTTGTTTGAAAATAAGACGACATGGTGTACAAAAGTCATTTCCGTAACTCGCGGAGTCTTCTTAATTATTTAGCTATAAAATTTCCCTCTTCAGCAACAAACCGCTGCGATATCCTATTAATAAATTTATCATTTATTTCTTACCAATTTGCAATTGCAGAAAAGTTGTTGGTGAACATGGTACAACAATTTTTCTTCCCTCAATTATGTCTGTTATAATAACAAAAAATAAAATTTTATTTGATTTAAATTTAATTTTTATATTAAACGTAATTACAAACAGAATTTTAACTCAATAAAATAAGAAGTATTTAAAAATATTTGCACTTATTATTATAAAATTTTTTATATCTGTTTTGGTTTTCAAAAAAACAGCTGTTCTCGCCAGACTCTTCACAATCTGTTCCATGAAAATTTGTATAGAGAGCGTAATCTGGTACTTTATTTGTGTTATGTTCTTAGTTTGTACTTTACATGTGTTTTACGCGAGTTTTACTACGAGTATCTCGTAGAACAGACTTAATATATTCAAGACAAGCTGTGATAAATGATCACAACTAATCGTTCGATAATATATTATTGTTACCGATAACTTATAATGTATCGATAGCACATCATACCTAAAAGTATATGTAAATAATCATTGATTCATGCATATCTTTCGAATAAAACTTTAATTTCTACTTATCAAATATTTGTTTCAAAATTTCAATAATTATAAAACATACATTGAGCCGAAGAAACTGTTAACTGTACCTATTGTACTATATGTTATGTATTTATTGTACTTGCTACTTCTCTTTAAGTTTCTTATATCACCGCGGTCTGTAACATTTTATAAATATTTCTTAGAGTGCTTTATAAATAATTTAAAAAAATTAAAAATTAATGATCGAAAATATTAGCTTTTTAATCTTTTCTTGTTATTTTGCTATGCACTTAAATAAATAAAATTATAAAAATTTATATCGTTTTTTACGATATTAGTTTTTAAGAAAATATTTGAAACGGTTCTTCCAAAAAATAATAATATTTTTTCGTTCTGCACTACGTTTGTAATAAAAACTTGTAAAAAAAACTTTTGTTAGTTACATGCACTTTTTATAACAATCAAATTCTTTTTTTTGACACCAAGTAAAATGATACCCTTTTTTTCTAAAAACGAAATTGTGTTTTATTATTCAGAAAGAGGTCGAGAAGTAGTGTACTACAACAACAAAAATTTTTTTTGTATTACTTTAATTGGATTTATTGTTGATCATATAGCTGTTTCTAAGAACTAGGTACTGTATTAAATTTGATGTTCAATTTGTTTCTGTTATCTGAATATCCCTATAATCTGAATTTTCTTTAATAATCTGTATTAGCAAATTTTGTATTAGCGCTCAGAACTCACGGGTGAATTCAAAACTAATATGACCTGGCTTGGCATGTGAATGAAATAAAAGACCCTAGATATTTATAAAAACTGTTATAAAAAAGTACATAAAGATTTTTTTATGCAATTACTAATGCCATATGTCGTGTTATTCTATTCAAGCTCTTCAATTCAAAGAAATCGTTATGGATGATTAATTGTTTCTTTCACTTAACTTCGTATGACTTAGGATAGCAATTGTATGTGTTGCTTTACGAATCATCAAAATTTTAAAATAAGTGACGTCTTCTGCAAAATAATACATATTTTTTTAACGTGTCATCAATACATTAATAACAACAACCCAATCCACTACACATCTTAAGTTTTATTATCTTTAGTGCTTTTTTTTTTTAAAGCGACGCACGCGCAAATATCGACTCCATCAATGTATTTCAAATATGTTCACATTTTGCTGATTGATCAAAATGTATGCAATTTTATGAGTTTTTAATTTTTTTTTCGAATGAACAACTCATCCTATCGCTGCTTAATTTTTTTTTATTCAATAATTAACATCGTCTTCTAAGAATATTGAAAATTTATTTGCGTGCAAATCAAAGCATTCGCAATTTTATGACTTATGCCTTAAAAAAAATAATTTTGCTTGAATTTTTTGTATTCAATAACTTACTTAAATAGTTTTTTTTACAAAAACTTATCTATTAAATATCTTCATATGTCATTAGATCGTTTATAGAATAATTTTAAAACATTTTGAAAACTAATTAAAACATATGTAATATTGCGAGATGAAGTATTTACTAATACTTTTATGTAAATCGCTTTGTGTGAAGTTTGGTAAGAACCACTAGTGCCGCGCAAATAAACAATAAAAAATTTAAATTCAAACCAAAACAGCTGCTTCACACATCAACACAAATTTTACTTGAAATAAAATGTCCTACAGGGATGTTGCGCTCTCTCAGATGCTCTCATTTACTCGAAAATTTGCTTGTGGAACGCGCTTGTGTATACACATTGTTACTCAAAGTTATTAAAAGTAGCTCTTGGAACAGACCTAATATCTATATGTTGCTTACTTAAGCAACATAAATAAGTTCATAAATATGTTTCGTAAGATCGTAAGAAAAATGTTCAGAGTATTTTTCGAACATCAAAAAGAAGTGAGACTTTTTAAAGTCTATTTATCCTACTATTTCGTAAAATTTAATTTTTTGATATTGAACGGAAATAATTCGTATATGTGCATATAGTTTATTTATGCATTTGCTTTAAAATTTGTCGTAAGATCGTAGCAGAAATGTTTGGATTATTTTCCGGACATCAAAACAGATCCAATTTTGTAAGGATTTAAACTCTATCCTACTAAATCGTTATCTTTAATTATTTTTTGCTGCATAGTGAACTCAAACAATTTTTTCTTAAAAACCAAATTATGTGCGAACATTGCAGTTTACCAAGGTGGCTTCGTGTTTGTTGTAAGATCGTAGGAAAATTTTTCGAAACTGTTTTTCTGGCAGCACTCGCGACATTTTTGGCATTTTTAGCATTTTTCCCAATAACCATTTTGCATTCACTGTAGTTTCGCAGCCAACTTCGTTTCATAATCTCTTTTTTTTTTATAAGTCCAAGATGGCAAATCGTGGTGGAAATCGTAATCGTAGTGAGGAACCAGAGAATGCAATTGCATACGTACAATGTGATGGTTTAGTAAGTATAATTGATAAACATAAACAAATACAATATTTCCAGAAACCTTTCATCTACAAAAACTATGAGTGAAGCAAGTTATTCATTAACAAACCAGCCGCCGTCAGCTAAAACGTCTACTCTCCTGCATGCTCACATGTAGAGTGCGACACATTTGTATACATTAATAATTTTAAAATGATTTTTTTTTTAATTAAATAAACATCGCGTTTTTTTTAGTGATTCTAAAACTATTTTGCGGTTTTTATGGTGTTTATTTACGAAATTTGTTTATTTTCTTTTGAATTTTTGCTTATTTCAGGCAGTTATGAAAATGGTGAAACATTGCCATGAGGAGTCAAGTAACATGGATATGGCGCAGGGCGCATTACTTGGTCTTGTTGTCGACAAATGCTTAGAAATCACTAACTGTTTTCCTTTTCCCAAAAGTGGAGATGAGAATATGGACGAAGAAATGTATCAACTTACAATGATGCGAAGGTTAAGAAGGGTTAACGTAGATCATTTCCATGTCGGCTGGTATCAGAGTTCGGACGTTGGCAATTTTCTTTCAATGGCCTTACTAGAATCACAATACCATTACCAAACTAGCATAGAGGAATCCGTTGTAGTCATCTATGATACACAAAAATCTGCACGAGGATTTTTGTGTTTAAAAGCATATCGCTTAACGCCACAAGCGATACAAATGTACAAGGAAGGTGATTTCACGCCCGATGCCTTACGGAACCTGAAAGTTGGCTATGAATCACTTTTTGTAGAAATACCTATTGTAATTAAAAACTCTCCATTGACAAATATAATGATGAGTGAACTAAACGAAATGCTGCCAGAAGAACAGGGACACAACTTCCTAGACTTAGGTACTGCATCTGTATTAGAAAATCATATGCGGTGCTTAATTGAACGCGTAGATGAACTCTACCAAGAATCTATACGCTACAATAAATACCAACAAGTGGTATTTAAGCAAGAAACGGTGAGTCAAATTAAAAATTAAATTTTATTTGCATACATATTATTAGCCATTTATTAATTTCCTTTCCTTTATTAATTTTCCTTTTAAAACAAAAGGTTTCAGTTGTTCTCATTCATTAAAAATAAATACTGAAATTTCAGTCAAGCAAGCCTTAAATACTAATACGATAAATAATTTTTTTAAATAGGAAAAGCATCGTGCCTTAGCCAAACAAGCTGCAGATAATGCAGTTCGTATATCAAAGGGCGAATCACCAGTACCAGAAGATGAAGTGCTCAAATTATTCCGACCACTGCCTGTGCCACACAGGCTTAACGCCACTATTACATCTGGTTTAATAAACACTTATTCGCAGCATATATCACAATTCTGCTCTCAATCATTAGCTAAATTATTTATAACACAATCACTGCAGCACGCCAAGGAGTCCAAATCCAACGCCAAATAAACTCAAACGTCTTAAAGAAAGATAGAATCGCCAGAATTCAAGTTAATTGCGTCAAAGAAAAGAAATATTTTTGAGGTATTCGTATTTTTATTTACTTATAATATTTTAAATTATTTTTCAGCATTAATTAAGCAATTCTAAAAATAAAATATTCAATTATTTAAAAAATTTTTTTTCAAATTATCCAAAATTTTAATTTTATAATCGCTAAGCCTTTCTATATTTGGCAAATAATAGTAAATTATTATTATTTATAGTAAATTTAGTTTTATTTTATGTGTATCATTATTTTACAAATATTCAATTTCAATAATTAAATTTACTGGGCTATACTTTATATAATTTTTAATTCTTTAAATATATTTATGTATAAAGAACACTTTTATAATTACTGAAAAAATAAATCTTAAAAATATTTCATTTCTACATGAAAAAACACTTTTATTTAATTAGTTAGTTAGTTAGTTGCGGTGGAGAGAGGATGAATCCTCCTTAAATAGCTAAGGATGACAGCCGTTTTGAATCCATTTCAATCATTTCATTTCTTCAAGTATTGGTAGACACGCACTACATGAGGTACCACAGGGAAGGCCAAGTCTAGCTCCATGCCGTCCTATAGACCAGTGACCCGTAAAGACAGATATTAGCTTAGAAACCTCAGATTTGTTTCTACAGATTAAGTCAGAGGTTCTATATTTGGAATAGATGGGCTAAGTAGCCCTTGACCTGGCTGCTGAGACAGTAAGGGTCCACTCACTATTTGCCTGTCGCAAAAAATTGTCACAAATCAGCCTACGCCCGTAGCTGACAGGGGCAGGGATCGAAATAGGAGTATCCGTGGAAGAGGCGCCTAACTTAGTAAGCTCGTCAGCGTGCTCATTTCCCACAATATTAGAATGGCCGGGAACCCATACTAGAGTAACCTTGGACCTCTCACTTAGTTCACTGATAATTTCCTTACTTTAATTCCTTATTTAATTAACTTGGATATAAATATATATTATTACAGACATTTATTTATGGTATAACATTTATTAGCTATGGAACATCTATTTTTGTTGGAGATTATCATCACGGCAAATCTTTTAAAAGTATTTTTTCTGAAAGAAATTCCTATCATTCAAGATCTAAAACGCCTTCCTCCAGATTAATTCGTGGGAAATCAATATCAGAACAACGACATTAGTTCTAAAATATGATTCGATCTCCTATTGATATCTTTGCAGAACTATAAAATATAATATATATATAAATCTAATATATTGTATTAAATGACATTCATAAGAAAAGTAAATATTCAATAAAACAAAGAGAATCAATTAATGAAAGTAGTATAAAATATTTTCGAAGAAATGTGCGAGCTGTTTTTATGATTCACTCAATTCACATAATTTTAAACATACTTTGAAGAGTTTATAATCCGAAGGTTCGATGTTTTATCAATTAGTGTTTAATGTTGCTTGGTAATCAGCAATAAGGCTGATGTTGACGGTTGTGAGAGATCATTAAATTAGAAGTAAACAGGGTATCAGGTCCCTACAGAGCTGAGCACTGGGACCATGGATGATCTTTTCTGCTGCAACAGACCCTAACCGAATGAAAGCCAGAATGTCAGCCGTTGAGGACCTCCTAATGTCAAAAGGGAAGAGTAGTTCTCGACCCAGTGACCTCCTCCTGGCCCAGATCAAGGCTGGGCTGAGAGATCATTCTACCATAAGATTTACATGCACTTCAGAAATTGTGAGCTTAATTTGAACCATTCAAGAGTAAGAATGCTGTTATACCAAGCGAAAATGTGTTTCTATTTTACAATTATTATTACAGGTCAACTAATTAGAAGCAGTGAAACATGCAATACCACATTGGAAATTATTCGCCAAATTTTAAATTGTTGTAAAAGGCCGGACTATCATTATTGAAATACCTTTACCTATGTATTATCCATGTATGCAACAGAGAGACATAAAGAACACAATTTAAATACTCTTTACCACAATCTATCTGCTATTATATTGAAAGATCTCGCACTGCGACTGAATGATCTATTGTGCACCCTACATGAACCGAACTTACTTCACCGAGTCTCATATCTTGAATCGATAAAATATATTATTATTATAATATAGGTCGTGTGCGAGTTAGGCTAAGTTGCGTTCTAAATGTGGGAAATTCTAAGTTGTGCCGATAATGTAGTGATGTGTCGATACGTGTTGATAAATGGCCAAATGTGTGCAGTGTAAAAAATCCGAAAAAATCTCCCATTTGGTTTAGCATCAACTTAGCCTAACTCGCACACGTCACGTCCATATTAAATATATACCTAAGTTCTTTCGTTTTGCGTATCAGAGTAGTCACAAAACGTGCACAAAACCTGCAAGTTCAATAAAAAGTAAACTTTCAAGTAAACATTAGGTAACCCACAATATAATCCACAACAAACCCTATGATTACTCGGCAAATTCCATTTAAGGACTTATCATGCAATATAACTGCCTGGTTTTCATAAAGTATATCCAAAGCTATTTCCATTTTCTGTCATCATAGTCCATGTCTCCCACATTTGTATTGGATATGCTTTTGTGGAAAAATCTTGAAGATGAAAGTAAAAAGTACGGTAAGCAACATAAGGCGAAGAAAACTTGTGTATGTCTTTGAGTCAGTATCATTGATTTCCGTTTTTCATAACCATGTTATAATGTCGATATAACGTTGGAATTATATTTCCGAAGTTTTGTTTCAACACTAAGATTATTAAACGTGGCTCTTGCTTTATTCGCGTTGTTACATATTACTGTTTTACTCCTAAATATTCCTTATGACACTTTCTATATACTAAAGTTTATTATACACACGGTTTCCAAGTTTTCACCTTCTACAATATATTAACAGGAAAATATGTCAAAGCACTATATCGGATAGACATAAAAACAGTTTTTCTGGTGTTGATTTTCAATCTTGCTATGTATTTATTTATTTTAAGTCAATTCAGTTTTGTGTTTAAGAGCATTACAACTGAGGTTTGGTAGACACGCCTACTATATGCACTGCAGGTCTTCTAAGTAACAAAAGAGTGACCAATGGCATAATGACAGTTGAACAATTCTTTTAAAACTTCACCTAGGGCCAGAATAAATAATATTGGAAACAGAAGACATCATAGTAAGTCGTTGTGAAACAGTGGCTGAGCTAGACCAACTCTGCACGTCGGCGACATCAGAATTGCGAGGCCCCCTTTATAACCCAGTTGTAAAAGTAAATAAGTTACATTGTAAGGCAGTTTCCTAAGTCGTTGTGTATTATAAACAAATTTTCGATTGCAACTCATTACACTGTTCCATAACAACACGAACCTTCTTAATCCGATCAATATATTAACAAATAATAGTTTAAATTTACAAATTCTAACCACTCCATAAATTGTTTTTCCATCCAAATAACTCTGATACCAGCAAAAGGACGGACATTATAAACTATCGAATGAAATCGTATCGTAAAATATTATACAATTATAAATTTAGCCTATGCAAGTTATTACTTACATTTCACTATATCTTAAGTTCTAAAAATTGCAATAAAAAATACAAACCTGATTATAGCTTTCGAATAACTCGCCCTCTATCTGTGATTTTTAAAATTTGTAATTAGAAAAGATTTTTGAATCCCTAGTAAAGAGAGCTGATTATAAAATAAAAGTTTAATAAGTTAAGAAAGTGCTATATATTTCTTTATAGTGTTTGCTTAGCTTACTATATATGTAATAGTCAGTGTAGAAATTATAACTACAGTAGACTCTTTGCTTAAGTAATACCTGATATAATTGAATCTTCTTAATAATAAACGATCACATATTTGTGTTGTTTATTTTATATTACAAATGCAATATAGAATTGTAAACTTACTTAACTGCTTTATCTTTGCCTTAATTGACGAGCACAATTTTTAATCCATAAAATATCTGGAAGATAACAATTAACTAATTAAAACCAATTTTGTGTTTTAAGACAAAATGCTGGATCGACTATATTTTTGTTTACCATTCAATCATGTCAGATAAATAATGTTCTAAAGAATAGGTGTACATATACATATCATCATTTGATTTCGGCGGGGCTTGAGCAATTGAATATCCTCTTGGGCTACGTACCTAATAAAAATGTCAAATCATGTTTTAATATCTTCATTGGATGGATAATATAAATAAATCAAATAATGTAGATCATCGTAAAAAATAATTATACCAAAGGCGTCATAATCAGATATATAATATCAAAATGCGCAGATTCTATATATAACGTAGTAATATGCATATACAGATATAAAATTATATTACTTTCAGGTATAAATTATCCTTTAGAGTCTTAAGTCTATAATTTTCGAAATAATGAAAAACTTGAATTAACGAAACGAATAGAAATTATATATTTCATTCTATAGTGAGTGAGTCTACTATGGTTATTGTTTTTGTAGTTCGCAAGTATATGTGCTTGTTGTCTCTTTCGGGTGTGTTGAACGGCATTTGATTGTCTAAATCGACGAGTGACTCCAGGACGTACAACAAATCGTTCTTAGAACGCAATGAATGAATTTGCAATGAATTTTACTTAAACTAACTCAATTAACTTTGTGTAATTTTACTTGAGAGACCATATGTTGTCGTTTTTAATTTGATTTTTTTTAAAAAGTAACTTTTATCAAAATAATTTTTTAATTAATATAACTCAATTACTTGTTCCTATTCAAAACATATGCACATTCCAGCATACCAGTGGTGTGTGCAAGAGGACCTTTGGGATTCACACTGATCATATTATAATAAATAAATGGTTAAAATAAAATATAATTTATATTTTTGGCATAAAATAACACAGTTTATTTGTCACGATTTTGATTTTAGCAAACTTATAGCTAATTATTAATATATATATATATTGTTCCTTTCAACATTTCGATATATGAGTTCATATATAGTTCAATTTTATGTACAACTACATAAATAAAATACAAATCTTATTTATTAAGAATTTGTGATGCAAAACTACATTTATTCGTACTTGACTACATTTTTATGAGAATTTTAATGTTTTATATAATGAATTATTATCAATCAACATACTAACAGCATCTGCTGGCAGTAAAAATTTAGGGGTACTAGTGTTTCTAACAGTTCTAATCATACTATATGAATAAACTCTTCTCTATAAATATAAATCGGATTATCATAAGTTTTTTCGCTTTGCTGCTTATTATTTATATATAAATAAATCTATGTTAACAAATAACAACTATTTAAATATATTTTTTAGGAATAAAAATTTAATCGCACTTGATTTATTGCACTAGTTGCAAACTAGTTTCGTATTAGATTTTACAAATTGTACAATATCTATATATATATATAAAGATATATACTTAAATTAATAAATTTAACAGGATATGCATAAAATAATGGGAATTATACATAAATTATCAGCAACGTATACTTATATGCTATATACAAACATATATACAAACAAATATATATATTAAGATATTTGACTTAGGATATTTGTACGAATACACTATTTTTGTAAGTCCCAATTCCAATGACAATTGCTGTAATCTTTGAATGAATCAATGGATCATTCCAAACTATATTTTTTGTTCACTGCTTTGCCTATACTACGTATAGGTTAAATCCAGATTTTATCAGATTTGGGAGCATTCATACATACAAATTCTTATTTTGTGCATTTACATGCGCATATATTTATTACAAATACATCGCATTATGTATTTCTATTATATACAAAATAACGCTTTAAATTATAATATTAATTATGTATTAAGTAAAACTAGACAAGTTTAAACTAAAACATTAAAAATAAAAAATTATTAATATTAATATCAGGCGTTCATATTTTTTATAACAATATATGTATATACATATTGTATATATTTATATACGATATGTAATCATATATATACAAACTTGCACTTCTATGTATATAAGCGAGTACCTATTTTGTCATTTATCTTTTTCTTAGCGTGTACTTTGCCAAAGAAGGCATAGGGCCACTAGTTTGTCATTATTGAGGCATTTCGTGTACTTAACTAACTTAACTATTATTAAAGTAAATCTTAAAAATAGTTTCTATTTCAATAGAAAATATCAGAATTTTTAAACAAAATAATTACAATACTTTCTTAATAATTAAATATAAACATTAACATATGTATATAATTATTTTTTATACCATCTCACAATATTCTCAACTTACACTAACACAAATATCAACAAATTTATTTATAAAAATATTTATAAAATATATTTTAATTTTGGCAAATAAGCATAACAAACTAAAAAGCGCAGACTATACTATTTCCATCTCCAAGTCCGTTTCATCTTCGGAGTCTAAGAGTTTGCGTTTATCATAGCTGTGGATGACTTCATTTATGCTATTAATAGGCCGCACTTTACCCATATTTACCACGGGACTTTGTGAATATAGGTATATCGCGAAAGACACCATCGCAATGGCTAACGCTGTATTGACATAAATGGGGATGGCGAAGAGAAAGTAACACAGCACAGCTGTGAATAGTAGTTCCAATGCACTAGCAAACGTTTTCAAAATGGAGTTCATGTATTTCAGGAAAAAACTAGTTACAATCCCAATGGCTGCATTGTTCACAATAATAATAATCACATTAAAACGAAAAATGGCACTTAAACTTTCCCTCGTGAAAGCCGCTAAAAATTCATTTCTCAACAATAAGATGATTGCATTGCAGACAATTGAATCCACATACATGTACACATTCTGTACGAATATGTTAACCTCAGCGCCTTTATCCTTCAGTAAGTACTCATTGTAAACGCCAGCCAAGCACGAGAAAAGTGTCTGAGCCACTATTAGTAATGCACTTAAACTGAAATCAAAGCCAGTCATATTTTTGTTCATCATCTTGGCTGTATCGCCACCATTGGCCACTTGTGTTGTATTTCTCACGAATATACTTGCTGCTTCGCTATCATCATTGGCATCACTGTAGAAACTGTTAAAGTTCAACTGCTTCAGCATGCAACCGATTGTAAGCAATATCAAGGAGATCCATTGACGTTTTGTGAGGTATTTCTTGAAAATGATCTGTAAAAACAAACTAATAGTTAATAACGAAATGCCGTTAATATATCGTTTATATAAAAAAAATTATGATTTGGTAGGTAGTATTCGAAAGAAGAGCAATCAGCAATCACTCAATGGATAGATTGCAAAGAAGCACACTGAAGTTTGTATAACTAGAACGTTACTATTGTCTTAATAGTAACTCCTTACCTAAGTACTCCTTTTAGAAGAATTTATTGTGCTCTATATTTTATCTCTATGTATAAAATTATTTAAAACTTCCGAGTACTCATTTTTTTTTGTGGATTATTTTAAACAAATTAAAGCTGGAATAAAAACATTTTTTTCAAGACAAAACAGCTTGATTTTTTTGTATAATAAAGCTTTACTCAGCTAAAATTTTACTATATACTGACCTTACTACGCCCCTGAGATATAAAATTCGAAAAAAATTAAAATAAAAACTATTTTGATGAAAAATGTCTTGTTTACAAAAACTCAACAAAGATAAAATGTATTTCAATGCGAACATATTGGATCCACACGTAGTAAAAATGATAAGACTTCCGGGTTGTGTTTTAATAATAATGAAAAAATTGGATTGAAAATATGCTAGTAAGTCATGTCGACACCCGTGGCAGTAAAACTGAATTGACATTTTAAGAACTGAGCTCGGATTTGAGAACAAATACTGCACGTACATTTTGTTTATATCAGATAAGTAATGGTTTTACATGAGAAAATCTTTTAAAAGTAGTTTTAGCAAAATTTTTCGTATGCATTTTTTTTATATTATAAGTTGCAAATATCACGGAATAAGTCATATTTTCTTCGAGTTGCAGAGAACGTACCTATTTAAACATTCAGTTAGAGCTAACAAGGTATCTATAGAGATAGTGATGTAGCAATCTTATAATAACATTCATTCGAAAAAACCAAATTCAAAAAACCGAAATGTGTAACAAGGTATCCATAGAGATAGTGATGTTGCAATCTTATAATAACATTCATTCGAAAAAGCCCAAATTAAAAATGTGTAACAATAAAAAGTAAATACGTTACCAATTATACCTTCTGCTCAAAAAGTACTCGGATTTTGTAAATAATATACACAAATTTAAATTTTATTCCAAATTTATTTTATCTCCTTCAAAATATCCGGTTACTTTTTGATCACACTTGAAATATTTATCTAAATTGTATATATATCTACTACTTGTGATAATTTACTAATTGAATATCATGTCGCAATACGAGATAAATAACGCAAATTTTGTTAGCGGGGTTCATTTAGGAATTGTGTTAATGAAGTTTTACGTAATTGCGCACTACCTAGTATGTATGCTGTACAGAGAATGATGAAATTAAGATTTAAACTATTTTTATACATAAAATTATAAAAATGTATATAGAAAAGAACTAACGCTAACAAAAAGAAACCGAAGAAAAAGAAGAGAATGGTAGGCTATTTTATGACATGTTAAGGTTCCTCAAAGATTGTAACTCGGAAATGGTGAAAATTATACGTTACGTCAGCTTGACTGATCATATCTCACGCATAGACCTGTTGGTTCTTAGCGATATCAGATTAACTGTTTACTGCATTGCTAAGGACAAAAAGCTATATGCGTGACTTATGTAGATTTTGTCTCTAGAAAATGTCTCTATTTTGTCTTAAGAAAAGTGACAGCAAGCATTTTTTTAAGATTTTTTAATGTGTATTTTAGACTAGATCTTAGTGTGACAAGAACCTAGTAAAGGCTGGTCTAACATGCGACGCGAATTTTAGGTCAAATTATTAGGTTTATTATTAAAAAATTTCAATTAATTTCAATCATTTGGAGTGCAAAGCAGTTGAGAAACACTGATTTCTGAATGAAATGTATTATTGTTATCTAAATATTATCGCACATAATAAAACAATACAAGTAATTAGGAATTCGTATGCAAAATGCTTTAAGTCTAAATTTACTCATAAACATTTATAACCAAAACATATTGACTTTCGATAAAAAAAAAAAAAACATTGGCATTTAAGCGAAGTGACTGACTGAGTTTACTCAGTCAATGTCTGTGCTTCCCAGGTGTGTGACTCTGCTGGTTTTTATATTATTTATGTATGCATAATAAAATTAATTTTATAAATAAACATTCTTGACTGACCTAGAATAAGCGAGGGAAAATATAACGTAAATATGTGGAATGAATATCGTGTCCATATATATAATATACAGTTAGTACTCACTTGAAACAAGACCCCAGTTACAACTACACGTAGCTGTAGTAGTAAATAATATGTAGTTGGATCGAATGTCGCCAAGTTCACAAATGCCAAATTATTGTATAGACAATATAGGAATGCTGGCACAAAGTATAGCATCATAACGTTTGAATCCTTGCGCACATCTCGAACCAAGGATTTGAGATTATTTCTGTAATGAAAAAATCATATTTTCACTAGCAAAAAATTTAAAAAGTTTTTATTATACATTATGAAAATTTAGTTTCAGTTCAATTTCAATTATTTATTTATTAATTTTTAAAACAGGGTAAATTTCTATACAGACATGTCAGTCTGCAGTGGGAGCATTAATCCAAGTAACAGTGTTTCTAAATTTATTACTAGTAAATATATAGTTAAACCAAAGATACTTTTATGTATTTTTTAAACATTATTGTTTTCTTTGAAACAATTTATTTAAGATTTTTAAAAATATATTTCAAGTTCTAATCAGCAGAAAAGACAGTATACACTTAACCTATTTAAATTAATAATGAAATTAACATAATTTCAGAAGAATTAAGGATATTACCCACAACGATTTGAAATAAATGCATTAGCAATTCAGACTTTTTTATTTTTAACACAAGCTCCAGAGCAATCGCATACAAATCAGGAGCTACTTAACAACGATAACCCGTTCAGCACTTCTGTCTGAATTTCACCGTTGGTAACATATGCAAACTAAATATTGATAATTCTTCTAACTAAATATTAGAATATATTTCGCGTAAGTATGAGGTCAACTATAAAGTTCAGTTTAACCGTTGGAACTTCATTTGAATTTTGCAGATCGTTAGGAAGCCGGCACAATCAAGCTTCCCTAAGAATGAAGAAACAATCCGAAGCAAAAAACACTTCTAGATCTTTAAGTTAGCGATACAATAAAAACTAATTTAGAACCTATACTTCTTTTAAAGTCGGTTTTATTTTTTTAAGAATATTAACTTTTATTTCGAGCGTTAATTTTTTATATATTTCTATAATTATTTCGACAAATTCGATTTGGCCTTCATCAGGAGAATTCGTAATATTAGGAATTGTAAAAAAATTAAACCGACTTTAAAATAATTTCGACGTAACAATTTAAAAATTAAAAACTATATTTTTTTGAAGTTTCGCTTAAACTCGTTTAGATATATTTAACGTAATCTGTTAGATGTGTCCGCACATCTGAGATACACCTTTCTTAAATTTACTATGTTCAGTTGTTGTTGTTATTGTTCCGAACTTGAATTATCATGATTTTTGTATCTTGTTATCTAAAAAATATTAATGTTTTTATGGTGCTAAATGATTAAAAAACGCATGAAATTGAATTTTTTAATAAAAAGACGATAATTATTATATTGACTTAATTGAATTAAAAATAAGATTTTACAAGCTACTTATTACAAAGTAGTTACTTATCATAAAATTGTTTATGAGTCATCATAAGTTCCTGTAAAATATTTATGTATAATGTATATATATTGATATATTTTATGACAATTAATATTAATCATATGTGTGCTATATTAAAGTAGTTTAAGATAGCAATTATATATATTTTAGTGTGATTATTGTAGGAACGCTTTATTACATTAGGATTCTGTAGTGACGCATTTACAGCAAACAATTTATTTTTGGTGATTTTATGATAAATGATTTTTTTCAATTTTGAATTATTTTTTTTTATGGCACATCGATTCTTATTCTACAACTTCGACCGTTTTTTAACACCGATATATTATGTATTGAGTATATCTTATGCTCAGGTTTTACATGTACATATAATTGTTCAGTTAATATTAATTAATAGAAGTTATGGTACGATATATAAGTCAATTTATCTGTTTCTCAATTTCATGCGGCATCCTCGATCCATCTGTGGGGTTTTGGAGCCGCTAAATAGTGTGCTGCATAATTGATTTTGCTTAGTAAGGTGCAATTTATCGAAGGTGGATGTCATCTGCTTTGGAAATTATATTTTCTTTTAGATTGTTGCAGCTGTATCAGTGAATATTGTAAGAAATTTTCAGTTTAGCATTCCAAATTTTCATTTTAGTTGCCTGCTTTCCAGCAGGTAAAATTAGTAAGAGTTTCTTTTATTCAAAGACATATCTTCTATTTATGCTTATCAACAACATTGTTTGATTTAAATTGTATCCAAGACATAATGACCTACAACTTTTACATTCTTAATTCTTCCTTTTCACACAATGCTGGCTGGACATTATAAATAGGTCTAAGTTCAATCAGGTCTAAGTTGCAAGGTACCTTTATCCATGCTAGTTTTAATTAAATTTCGCCTATCGCTCATCCGTTCTTAACCTTCAAACAACTCTTTCGCCTACTTAACGTCTACCTAATCAAAGTTTCAATTCATACATTCGTATGTTTCTCGGACTTTAACAAAAACAACAAGTGAAAGAGGCAAACAATATTCTTCATATCCAAAAAACATTGATTAACGTTCAATGGCTCTGTAGAGAATATTTCTTGCTCTTTAAAGATTATATATGTATAATGACTGCTTGTTATATATTCTGGTTCTTCAAAAATAGGTTGAGCATATACTGAATATTTAATTAAAATAAATTTCACTTATTACAATCACTCATGCCGCAACACTTAAGATAATGTTTGCAATTATTCTAAGTACACCAGTAATCCGATCCGAAGTAGTAGCTAATACTTCCTTACGGACTATAACTGATTCGAATTTGTAATTATATATCATGTTTATACTTGTTCGCAGATATACATATGTATATATATTAAAACTTCACACACACACACACACACACACACATTATTTGTGTCAATGGTAGGAAGATTTAACTTACTCGCGACAATATAAACTGGCAGAAACCAAAAGCTTAAGAACCTCCGTTAATAGCACCACTGTCACCGTGTTATATTTATAGGAATTGTTTGTTTCCTGTGAAGCTGTCACAAAAATCCCTGTAACAAATCAAAAATATCGTGTTTACCAACAAAACAAATAAACATTTTCGACATTTTTACCTTGTCCTATAAATAATGTCATATAAAAGATAAAAATCACAAAAGTTAATTTTGTCGGGAAGAGATCCCGCCAATTCGCAACCATATTGATGTTGACTTTAATTTAACAAAATAAATATAAATTTGGTTTAATTTGTTTTGTTTTTCGTGCAGCAGAAGCTACTTTCGCACATCCACGTCACTTCAACTGTGAGTCAAACAAAATTTACAATACAAATCAACGTTACATTCGTCTTTGATAATTGTGCTATATTAAAATAATACACCATTATAACAACATCTTGTTTCTTTATAGGTTTTTTAAGTAGCAATTTTTATCAACTTTATTGCTGAACAGAAAATTGTTTTAATCACTAAACAACTAAAAACAGCTGTTCAACAGTGTTGCCAACGAAAATTTTTCACTACACGCACTTCGTAAGTGTATTCGTTCCGTTGTATATAAGCAATAAATATATATATATTATTACACATCGTATTCAGGGGCGGCACTGAAGCTTTTTAATGTTTTCTTATTTGCTGACATGCGTCGTTTGGAAATATTTTACGGCAAATGAGCTCACCATCACATTTTTTCTTTAGGGTGAGAGCGAAATATATTCATATTTTGTGGGAGTACAGAGTAAACATACAAAACAAAGTATTTGATTTCATATGCTTTAAAAAAAGACCCCAAACTACTACCCTACTCGATTGTATCAGTTATCTCGTTTATATTAGCTGCGTTTCAGCAAACATGATCCGCTCAATTTTACATGCAAAACAAAAACAATGGGGTGAATCAGCAATTGATCTGGTTCACTTTCTGGTTCAATGTGGAATGTGTGTAAAAGATAAAAGTGGAACGTATTTTAATGCAAATGAGGTTGGCAATGCGATGCAACGGTGCAGTAAAATTATAAACAAATATATTTATTTATTATTGATTTTATTTATTTATTATTTATTTTATGTACTTATTTATTTAATATGTCGTTATTATTTATTTCTTTGTTTAAAATAATGTTTTAACTATTACTATAATTAAAATTATTACCTTATTTATTTACGTTTTATTATTATTGAAAAAGTGTTGTTTGATAATTTATTAAAATCAATTAATTTGAAATGAATATATATAAATTAAGTTGAATACATTTATTTAATTAAAACAGAACAATACATAAGGATCCAGGCTCTCCAACATAAACGTTTATAAAAAAACCATTTTCATCGCAAACTATCTGCAAAATTAAGCTATAGTCATGCTTTCTTTTGAAATAAGCCTATTTGCTATGGTGTGGTGCATTTATTTTTACATGTGTACTGTCTATGCAACCAATTACTAACGGGAATTTTTTCGAAGTTTCCACTTTTGCATTATTAGCAAGTGCGTATTTTATAAATTAGTGTCCAATTGATATACGCTTAACACTAGTTCTTTCAATTATTCTCCATACAGAAGCTCTTGGTATGCCAAAACAAATACCAAATTCGCAAAAAGTATTCATATTTGCCATATACCACAAAAATATATAAAATTCCTTCATTGCTCTCGTCCGATTGTGATCATCACGGTTATTTTGCATTTAATTATTGGAATTTATTAACAAATCTATTAAAATATGAAACATAATTAATATATAGCAATTGTATTTTTTATGTGCAAATACCAATCAAATAATCTTTAACGAAAGAATTATTGATCGTTTCCACAAAACTTCCACTATATCCATGCTGATGCACTTCATCCCTTGAGTTTAATACACTTGAACTAGTATTTAAAAAGGGAATGGAAGAATCAGTTTCGCTTGATGATTCTAATAAAATCTGCAATTTTCATTTATTTACTATAGAATTAAATTTAAATTTTAAAGTAAATACTAAATAAAAACTTACATTTAATACTTCACACAGCTCAACAGTTTTAATTTTTTTCTATTTTTTAGATTTTTTGTATTCAAAATGTTCTTACTTATTTTTTTAGTGCCAAAATTATTCACAAAAATCAAAAAATTTTGTACACAAACCCAACTGTCATATTTCATGCGTTGCCAATTATTTTCAAACGTGATCCGTATCGTTTCAGCAAAGATAATCCAGATCATTGAGCGGATCATGTTTGCTGAAACGCAGATATTGTATGACACTTTAAACCATATTAATTTGTAACCATTTCCACACCTATGAAAGCATTCTTAAGTCGTATCGAGACATTTTACCTGTTTACAATAAACACATTAGCTTTCTCAGCTATGTGCAGTCGAATCTCGCACTGACGTTTTAAAAGCGCTCGCAGGTTGCTCATTGAGTAACTGTAAAGAAAGCGTACAAAACATATACAAAGCAATAGAACGACCTATTGCGGCCTATGTTACTCTAGTATGCAACCCCATATCACTGAAATACGCACTGGATTAATATACAATTATGGCAAAATACGGCATTGCGGATTGCAAGCAGCTGTTATCGCAAGTTGATCGTCTTCATGCAAAATGTTTCTTGCAAAAGATCATAACCAACTTCTGTCAACTTCAGTAGAGGCCTCCCTCCAAGATATATTTGTCTATCCCTCTCTTCGTGTTATAGATATATTGACACCTTTTGCAATGAAGGTAACATCACTGAGGTCGAATATAAACGTAGACTAACAGCCTTATACATAGATGCAGTACTCCATTTGAGAATGAGGCTGACTTACAACAAGGTTTTCAATAGACTCCCACCTAAATCTCTCAGGAAAAACGACTGTCCCCCGTGCAGCATGAACTGTCCTAGCTCAATTGATATCAGGATATAGCCTAAAAAAAACAATAGACCTAAACACATATCCCGCCTAATAGATGTATCTGCATAAGAAATGGTTCGCTTTTACATTAGGACACATTTAAGTCAGTGAGGCGTACTTTCTTAATAAATGCTGGTATTCTGTTATGGTATGTAGGAGGCAGGGTAGGACTAAAAATATGGTCATCCCAAAGATTTAACATAGAATCACTCTTGCTAATAGAATCTGCTTTCGATCTCTACAAATTTATTATAATGACTGATCGATAAGAAGAGATTAGGTGTGTTCAGCAGGAAAATGTTTCGAATAATAGGAATAACTTTGTTCTTATATGCAACGAGTACTGGATTAGATAAATAAAGACTTATATGATTTGTATTGCGACAATGACGTAGTTGGGATCATTAAAAATAGTTTTCGCTGTTCCGGTTAAAAAAGCATATGATTCGGTATTGCTTAGAAGAAAATGCAATACAGTGTACGAATCTTTTTTAAAAGAATTTGGTGCCGAATTATCCAACATCGTTTAATACCGACAGCTGATGACAGCTTTGCGCTGATTAAGCTGACTGGTAGAGGTTACGAAATGGGGCCAAGAACAGTTGAAATTGTCAACTAAATAAATAAGTATTCATTCTCTCTTCCATTCTCTTTTCCAATATAGTCATACATGTACATACATAATGCTCATTATGCACAAAATTATATATATACATATCTTGCAAAGTGAATATTCCATAACAACTTCCGAAGTTGTTGTTTTGTAAATAATATTAGTTTATTTTGGCTTTTATTTAAAGACATAATTAGGATAAATCATAAAATATCGATCACTGATCGACATGATGCAAAACTGTACAAAAAGGATTAAAACAGTATACAAACATACTTTGAGCGAAAACAAATCAGAGTATCTCAGTAGCATATATACTACTGGGTATAGTATGTGATTATTAATAATTAAATATATGTGGAATCGTTAGTCTTGTTATGAACTATTGATATTGTTTATACATGACTCACATACCATTTATAATAGAAAGTGCTTCCCTCATGCGTGAGTACTAGCTAACATAAAAGTTTTTTGTTTACATTTAATACTTAATTATTAGGATTAATTATTTCACGTCCTCGCGTCAGCACTGCATATGGATTTTTTTTCTTATATAAGATGACCTTCTTAGTATAAATCTATACAGGCTAAACCACACTTTCCTCATGCAAACATTATACCACACATCATTTATTCTGATAACATACGATCTTACAAATGCGAGGAATATGCTTATTTGTCATATAGAGACGTCTTCAAGATATTATTCTTGAAAGCGAGATTTTCTGTTGAGAAAATTTTCACCGATAAGACAATGAAAATATTCGTCAAAAAATAGTTTTTATAGTACGTATACAACTATTCACCATATATGATTCACAAACAAAAACAGTCTTATACAAATAAAAAACAAAGTAAATAATATTATATTGTTTTTATTACACTTGTTTGTCAATTCTGTTATTAATTTTGTTAAGTTAAAATTAAAACATTACAGATATATATTATCGTCAAATTTTTAAAATGTAGAACTATCAAGAATTTGATATGAATTTGTTGTTTTTGAAAAACTGTATATGGAAATGAAGTTGTGTTCTCTGACGTGGTTGAATTTGTTCTTAAAAACCTATTTAAATGCAATTGCATCAAGCATCGAAGCCAGCGACTGAACAATATTATTCTGCATAACTATATCCACTTTTTCTTCTAAATGACGTTTGGGATCCTGCTTGCCAACATTTTTAATAGCCAGTTGTTGAGGCGTCATTTTTTCTTCATCTTCTAATGCCTGTATATAAACATTATAATTATTATTAATTAAAATTTATTGGCTTCATAATATAAAGTTTCACTTACCTTATTGTAATTTTTGGCCAGCTCCAACATATCTTGTACAGTCTTTTCATTAATATCGCTATGTTCCTGGTAGTCGGCAAGTGTAAGACCATCCATCCATGATTTCTTGTGTAAGTTAAGCAACATTTTTTGTTCAAGCTCATTTTTTCTATAATTAATGCTAATCGAATAGTAATGTCGGTTGAGGCCATGAATCAAAGCTTGTACCGAGGGTTTTTGTAAGTGACCCAAATTCGATGTGGTTTGACGAGGCTCTTGTCCAAGTACCAACGTATTAGGATTTATAAGACGAAAAGCATCAATAACAACTTTTCCTTTAACTGATTGTATCGGATCAACTACAACAGCAACGGCACGTTCAGAAAGTGCCTCAAAAGATTGTTGTGTATTTATATCGACACCAGAAAGCCAGCAACCAAAGCCAGGATGAGAATGGTACCAACCAACAACCATTTCAGGTCGACCAGTTTGCTTCAACATATCTAACATTTTCGCCTGAAAAACTGGATCAACTGCTTCAACGGATACTCCTGTGCCTGTTTGTGGCATTGCAAAAACGTCAATAACATGTACGGTGTAATCATCAACGAATTCGCCCAACATTAAACCCATGACTTCCATTGGTACACCAGCTCGACCATGTTTTAGCATTTTAAGTAAAGCTAATGACGAGATATATACCTGCTCTGCAGTATCTACAACAGGAGCGTCTGTTGGTGGTGGAGCCTGTGGCATAGCGCCGCCTAAACGTAACAAGCGATCCATTTCTGATTAATAATTAATGCAATACAAAAAGATTTGTTTAATCTATTTTATAAGTTATTGCACTCTGTAAATGCAATATATATTAATTATTTGACGAACTTAAACTTTAACAACACCGCGAAACAACGCAGCAAAATTCACTTCTTTTGGGTTTGACAATCGCCAAATGTGCAAGTAATAATCAACTAAGTTAAGTGCTGCCAACTTCACACAATTTGGATCAGTTGAGCGCGGATGGTTGCATTAGGGATTTTAAAATAATACAAATATATTAAATTAATTAATTAATTGTTATAATCTGTAAAAATACAAATGTAAATATTGATACAATTTTTTGAGAATATATTTGTTTTGAACCTTAACATATATGACAATTATTAATTAGTAAATAAATTAAAAAATTTATTTCAATTTTATATGCAAAATATAAATAAAATTTTATAAAACGAAATAATTTATATATATACAACAATTTAATTATATTATTAAATGTATTTAAAAATATATTTATTACTAAATTAAGTGCGCAAACTAAAAACAGAAAAACGACAATAATCAAAATAATTTGAATATCTTATATATGAGTGAGGAAACATTAGGACTTTTTGGTGGCTCACTGTTGCAGTCTGTCAAGTGTTATGTTTTGACAATTAGCGAAAATAGCATAATGCAAGCAAATTACATTTTGTATAAAAATATATATTTAACATAGATTGAAAATTAAAAGGAATACAAAATTAAGAGGAATGGGAAAAATGTTGAAAATTTCAAAATAAAACACTGAATTTTTTCTTTTTTTTTCCAATTTTCAAATTTATGAAATTTTTGAATTCTGTTTGAATTCTTATTTACATATAAATTTTGACATATGATTGCAATATTCGTTGGAATTTCCAATGAAGGAAATGAAGTAATTCATTCTTTTTTTAAAAAAATAATACTATAGCTTTTGAAATTAAGCTCTTTGATGTATTAGACGAACATAAAAAACTTTTGCGTACGATGTTGGTGATAATTTTATCATAGATTAAAAATATTTCTATCATAAAGTGAACACAGTTATATATGTAACAAATTTTATTATAAATATTCTTTCTATTTAATTTATATTAATTACGATTAAAGTTTCCTCACTTCAGCTACGCATCCATGCAGTGTTGAACTTAGTTCATGTATATATGTGTGTACAAAAAGAACAGTCCTGTCGCGAATTAAGAGCTTTAATAGTACGTTTCCACTGCTTAGCTAGTAAGCTTATCTTACTGAGTAAATTTCATTAACCATACAGAGTTTCCTCTCAGAAACAAAATTATACCATAAAAGACGATTACAACATTGAAAATGATCGATATTTGACACATGAAACAAAATGTAAACATAAACAAACAATCAAAATTCAAAATAAACAACATGTAAGAATTTTCTTAAACATTTGTTTTTTTTAGATATGAAATATATAATTAATATAAAATATATAATAATATATGTAATTAATATAATTAATTAATCCAAGGATTAGAACTGGTATTTTCACACCATTGATCACCTTACTGTTCGCTTATAGCGCACTGCAATTATCGAACTGCTACTTCAGTGATGAGTTTTCATAAATATAGCATAAATATAGGAGTCATTAACTCGTCCAGGATAATCGCAATTGATGTAAAGGAAACGGTATCTGTGAACATGTATGCATGTTTACACGTTTATTTAATTTTGTTTACTTTATACATGAAATTAATATAATACTTGCCTAAAAAAAAGAACGGTCGAATACTATTCTTTGTAGTAGTAGTAGTCAATAGCATTATTGGACTATTATTAGTGACATCTATTAATTATATTGACAATAATTAATAGATGTCACTAATAATAAATTGAGAACTTGCCCATTGTGGAAAAACCCAAGACTTCGAATCCGCTAATGCACTCTTTTATCTTTTCACTGTTTAATGGTAAAACATTCATGTATAAAGACAAAAGAGTTTTCCACACTTCTGCACAAAATTCTTTCAAACACTTACAAACTGTGGCCTTTCCAACGCCAAAAAGATTTGCAATGCTTCTAAATTCAGCTGATGAGCCAAGACAGTAAAGGCAATTGCAATTCGTTTTCTCAAACAAATTGCATACCTAAAACAGGTGTCTTGCTTTTTCATATTTTTCAAAAGATGGCATAGCTTATTGAAAGATTAAATGCTCATGCGAAAATTTTCTTCAAAAAACTCAGGACCATTTTTTTTGACAATCTTCTTTCTAAATTTTCTTCGTTCTTTTCTACAATAGCAAATCAATTAAATTTTACTTTTTATTTAACAATATTTACTGCCCGTACTTACCAAAGTCCAACACTTGCTTTGTTTTCTAGTAATAATTGAAGAAAGCACTATCATTTGTTGATTTTGAGTAATTTGTAATTTTTTATATATTAGGGGTATTCAGGCAACTGATTAGTTGCTTAGTTGATACAAAAACTTCATATAAAAAAAATTTTGCATTTTGATGTTAGTCAGTTGCTTGAACGACCCAAAATGCGTAATCTGATTAGTTTGTTGTGTGTAAATGCTTGGCAGCACTCGCATCAACAGCAAAAGCGAAACATACGTTAACAGTGAAAATTGTTTACACACAATTCAAACAGCTGAGAGAGATAGCTAACAAATTTCTATACAAAAGTTCATTTTAAGTGTCTTGCTTATTATTACCACACTTGGGACTGGCAGCACTATTAATCAAATTTGTACTAATCTGAGAATCACCAAAATAGTTGATTCCCTGCTTAGTTTCATTTTTGTGTGCAAATTTTTGTTGTAATCAACTACTAAGCAACTAATCAGTTGCCTGAATACCCCTATTATTGTATTTTTCTTTGTGTATGCAACAGCTGCCCCTTTCATATTTTGAATAATATCACAAACATACATGAAATTATTTAAATTTTCTACGTTTTCCATGGTGATTTATTTTCTTCTAACAACACAAAATTTAATGTCTTCTGTTTACAATTAAAATGTAAATACAGAAAAGCTCTAAATCTAGATCTTTTTGACACATAAAAGCTCTATCCCATTCCTTAAGTAACTTGTGATAATGTAAACGCTAAAAACTCAATGTTACTATACGACTTACTAAGTAATCAGTGGAAACGTAGTATAAAACCAAAAAAAAATGTAAAATCTGCGCCGGATTATTAAAAGAAGAACCATGGTTGCTGTGGTTTGTGATTATTAATACAATTAGTTAATACGTATGTAATGCTCTGTTATGTTATGTAAGGGCCATGTTATGCAGTGTCTCGCGCACGACAAAATTCGCTCTTTCGGGCTAGGCCAAAAATGCATGTTATGCAGAGTGTCACATCTGTATAGCCAATATTTTCACAATATTTTGGTACTTTTTGGTTGTACCTAAATTTAAAAGGAGATGTAGATATGCTCACTTTCAATTTGCCACCAAAAATAACCAGGAAAAAAAACTCAGAGGCTGTAATACTGTTAATTTATTATTATATTGTCTTATAATAATTGTTAACAGTACCTACAAAATTATATGCCAAGTTATACGCCGGTTCTCATGTTCACAATTATACTCATGCCATGCCCGATACACTCTGCATAACATGGCCCTAACAAAATTTTCGATAATTATGTAAGCTGGCAGCACTTATCCACACTTAACTAGAATAAAAATGTGTGTAAAAATCTTAAAGAAATCTGATTGCTGATACAGAAGTATCTTGCTCTTAAATCAATACTATCACCTCTTTATCCATTTTCTCAAGAGTTTTCGGGTCTTCACTACTCTAGTTGCTAGTTGTATTTATTTTATTGTTGATGAATGTAAAATTAAAGAAAATTAAAATAACACACGCCACTTGTACTAAAAGTGCAAGTATAAATTTATTCACTTTAACTCACTTTACTCAAATGCTCTAGAGTTTTGTTAGATCCTCCAGAAGCATTTAGTTCTTCAGCACAGTTTCGCTAAAAGTTTTCAGTCTTTTTATGACTATCTGTACCCGAAAGTTGACCTCGAGTAATACAAATATTTTGCTTTAGCAGCTCTAATAATATATATTTTTGTGCCTTCGATACACGACTAAACAAAATTTTTTTCTAAGAAACTGCAAATGAAATAAACATTTCAATTTATTAATAATACTTATTAATATATTTAAAATTATATATTTTTCAATTTTTTCAATTTAAACATTTATTTACTTCTGCTTCTGAACTTATAGTTGTAACAGAAGGAGGTTTGATGTATACTTATTATTAAATAAATTAAACTTATTACTAATTAGGTTTAAAAAGTAAGCGATAAAAACAAAAAAAAGTTAAGTTAAATGAATAGTAGGGAAATAATTATAATTATATATGTATATATATCTACAAAAAAAAAAAATTTTTGCAATATCTTATTCGTTTATAATAAATTATCTGATTTTAAGACTATTTATTTAATATGTGAATATTGCTTTAGATGATTGCGGATCAGTGCAGTTGAAAATTAGGGATTTATTGTCTCTGAAGACTGTAAGTAAGAAACTAAGATGGTGATCTCGTACTGAGGAGTAAATAAGCCACTCAAACATAAAGTGATTCAACGTTTCTTCAGTTTGTAAATTATAAAGTGTACAAAGGTTGTTGATTTCGAGTCTGTGAATTTGACCGTTAATACAAAAACGAGTGCATTGAATTGATGACAACCGCAATTGGGCGATAACCTTTGCCATAAAAAATTGCTTACGATCAAAGAGGTAACAGGCAGGTTTGTCATCCAGGGCTCTTGATATATTGCAATTCATGGATTGTGAGTTGGTGAATTTTAGAATGTCTTTGTATTTTAGATATTTATGATAGCGTTTAAGGGCCGTAGTTCGGTTATCAATCCAAGTTGCTGCAGTCGGTGTTTCCCACAAGTTTGTCATATTTACAACTTTAAGAAACTCATTAAATTGTGTAACCCAATTAAATTCACTTGTAGAAGAATTATTTACATGTACGTAAATGAGACGAAGGAGACATTGTTTGGGGTATCTTGATTGATCCATTTGAAGAATTCGTATAATGAAATCGATTGCGCGTTTGAAAACTCTATATGAAATTTTTACAAGGCCTAGTTCAAGTCTAAGTGCTGCATTGTTTGTAGCTTGGGGGAGTGCTAACAAACGTTTGTAGTACGTTGATTGAACGATTTCTAGTGAATCACAGTATCGTAGACCCCACACTTCTGATGCATAAAAAAGTGGTATTAAAATAATATATACATATGTGTCTATATAATTATTTACATCACTCATTACGAATATATCACATCAATTTTAATAATAAATATTTTATTTAAATAAAACAAATATTTTCACTATCACTTTATATTACTTTAATTAAAATTCAAAACATCTCGCAAGCAATTTGCGAAAAAAAGTGAGAAAAACATTCACCATAGTTACATAAACACTTCTAGTGACTAGTTATATAAACACTTCTAGTAACTAATTGTCAAAAGTAAGAAAATCGTTCGAGAAAACGATGTGAGAAAGTTACATAAACGAGCCACTGCTTTGTGTGAATTCCGGTGAGAACCACCAGTGCCGCGCAAATAAACAATACAAAAATTTAAATTCAAACCAAAACAGCTTATTCATACATCACACAAATTTTATTCGAAATAAAAGGTACGAGTAAGGTCTGTGTAGCATTTTCGAATTTCGGCAGGGATGTTATGCTCTCTCAGGTGCTTTCATTTACTCGAAAATCTGCTGGTGAAACGCGCTCGTGTATACACATTGTTACTCAAATTTACTACGAGTAGCTCGTGGAACACCCCTAATGTGAACGTTCGCTCATTAATATAAATGAGTAAATTTATAAATGAGACAGTGTGAATGAACTACTAGAACGAAATTAAGAAAAACAGCCTTATTTTCGTTGATATAAACACAGCTTAATTTCGCAAAAATCATATATTTTAAAAACATTTGACATTAATAAATACGGCAAAATATTGTAGAAGTTGTGCAAACATTTAAGATTTGCATTGAAAAAAATTATTTTTTAAAGAAAGATACGGATGACCCCAAGCGGCAGAAAATGCGCTGTTGGAACTGTGGGAATGTGATATGGAAGGCTTCCGTGGTGTGCGTAAAAACTGTTATGTACATAAAGAAATAAATGAGAAATTAAATAAACTTATGCACAATTCCCGAGAAGTCCAAATGAAAATAAACAACATGAATTCAAAATACAGATATTTGGAACTAACGTAATAAAACCATATTTAATTGTTTTTAAATAAAAGAAAAGAAAATCGCAAAATAGACTATTCTGGTGATTCACCATCTAGGTGGTTATATTGAGAATGAGTTAAGAAAATAATTGGGGGCTGCTTCATCAATGGTGAATAAAATAAATTATTTATGCAATTATTTATTTGTCATTTTTGTTATGTTTATGTTTATGGTTTTTTCAAAATTTTAGATGTAGACGTTTATGAGGATTATCTGGAGGAAGGAATGCCAACGTATGTAGATGATCGATCAGCATGACCCAAAAAATACGGCTTATGATGTGCGTATGTGGCTCGCTCATCATGTAAAACACCTCACCCACCTCAATCTCCAGATCTCAATCCCATTAAACATTTGTGGGAAGAATTGGATAGACGTCCAAAGAAGCCTATTATAACAATAAAAGCAGAGCTGAAGGTGACACTGCTGAAGGGTGGCAAAATTGGCCAAAGGGTGAAGGTTGGCCAAAAACCACACAAAAATAAATTTCTTCGATTCCAAAGCAAATAGTAGCTGTTATTAAATAGAAGAGCTTGGCCACTAAATATTAATTATTATTGCAAATATTTTTTTTAATTATTTTTTAATTTTAGCATTATCTGTGCCAATAATTTTGTTCAGCCAAATTTTGTTTTTTTTTTTTTTGGTTTTTTGATTTTAAAAAATTAAATATAAGAGAAAATAAAATGAAATAAAATGAATGTAAAAGCAAATAAAGCATTTTATCTAATAAAATTATAAGAAGGAATTGTGCACTGCGACCTAAAGGATCTATTGTGCCCCTTACGCGGGTTAGAGTGTTCTTCAAGTCCGATTTCTTTAATGAAAGACAGTATAGAGCCTACCTTACCTAGCCTTGAATCTTCATGATCCCTGAAATACCTTTCTAAGAGTTTCTTCCGTTTGTGCATCAGGTCGGGCACTCCCCAAGCACATGGTATGCAGTTTCTCTCTCTTCCGTATAGTATCTGCAGTCTGAGTTGGATTGAATTCCTAACTCGCATAGGTGATTATTCAATCTACAGTGACCGGTCAATAATTCCGTAATAATTCTTAGGTTGTTGTTTTTACACAACAACGCAATTTAGATTGTGAGAGTCCTGGTATACTTTCCCAATAGAGTTCCTATTTCT